GGAAAGCAAAAAAAAGCAGGAGTTGCAATTCTCATCTCTGATAAAATAGACTTTAAAGCAACAAAGATCAAAAGAGACAAAGAAGGCCATTACATAATGGTAAAAGGATCGATACAACACGAAGAGCTAACGATCCTAAACATATATGGACCCAACACAGGAGCACCCAGATACATAAGGCAAGTTCTTAATGACTTACAGAAGGACTTAGACTCCCACACAATAATAGTGGGAGACTTTAACACTCCACTGTCAATACTAGACAGATCAACCAGACAGAAAATCAACAAGGATACCCAGGGCTTGAACTCAGACCTGGAGCAAGCAAACCTGGTGGACATTTACAGAACTCTCCACCCCAAATCCACAGAATACACATTCTTCTCAGCACCACATCACACCTACTCTAAAATTGACCACATAATTGGAAGTAAAGCACTGCTCAACAAATGCAAAACAACTGAAATCATAACAAACAGCCTCTCAGACCATAGTGCAATCAAGTTAGAACTCAGAATTCAGAAACCGACCCAGAACCGCACAGCTTCATGGAAACTGAACAACTGGCTCTTGAATGTTGACTGGGTAAACAACGAAATGAAGGCAGAAATAAAGAAGTTCTTCGAAACCAATGAGAATGAAGACACAACGTGCCAGAACCTCTGGGACACATTTAAAGCAGTCTCTAGAGGAAAGTATATAGCAATAAGTGCCCATATGAGGAGAATGGAGAGATCCAAAATTGACACCCTATCGTCAAAATTGAAAGAGCTAGAGGAGCAAGATCAAAAAAACTCAAAACCCAGCAGAAGACAAGAAATTACTAAGATCAGAGCTGAGCTGAAGGAGATTGAGACACGAAAAACCCTTCAAAAAATCAATAAATCCAAGAGCTGGTTTTTTGAAAAGATCAACAAAATAGACAGACCACTAGCCAGATTGATAAAAAATAAAAGAGAGAACAACCAAATAGATGCAATAAAAAATGATAAAGGGGAAATCACCACAGATTCCACAGAAATTCAAACCATCATCAGAGAATATTACAAACAACTCTATGCACATAAACTAGTAAACCTGGAAGAAATGGATAAATTCCTGGACTCCTGTGTCCTCCCAAGCCTAAACCAGGAGGAAGCTGAAACTATGAATAGACCAATAACAAGGTCTGAAGTTGAGGCAGCAATTAAGAGCCTACCTCACAAAAAAAGCCCAGGTCCAGATGGGTTCACAGCCGAATTCTACCAGACACACAAGGAGGAGCTGGTACCATTCCTTCTAAAACTATTTCAAACAATCCAAAAAGAGGGAATCCTTCCCAAATCATTTTATGAGACCAACATCATCCTGATACCAAAACCTGGCAGAGACCCAACGAGAAAAGAAAACTTCAGGCCAATATCCATGATGAACATAGATGCAAAAATCTTCAATAAAATATTGGCAAGCCGATTGCAACAGCAAATCAAAAAACTTATTCATCATGATCAAGTAGGATTCATCCCAGGCATGCAAGGCTGGTTCAACATACGCAAGTCTATCAACGTAATTCACCACATAAACAGAACCAAAAACAAAAACCACATGATTATCTCAATTGACACAGAGAAGGCATTTGACAAAATTCAACAGCCCTTTATGCTAAAAACCCTCAATAAACTCGGTATCGATGGAACGTATCTCAAAGTAATAAAAGCTATTTATGACAAACCAACAGCCAATATCATACTGAATGGGCAAAAACTGGAAGCATTCCCTTTGAAATCTGGTACTAGACAAGGATGCCCTCTCTCACCACTCCTATTCAATATAGTACTGGAAGTTCTAGCCAGAGCAATCAGGCAAGAAAAAGAAATCAAGGGTATTCAAATAGGAAAGGTGGAAGCCAAATTGTCTCTATTTGCAGACGACATGATAGTATACCTAGAAGACCCCATCGCCTCAGCCCAAAAACTCCTGAAACTGATAAACAACTTCAGCAAAGTCTCAGGATATAAAATCAATGTGCAAAAATCACAAGCATTCGTCTACACCAATAACAGACTTAAAGAAAGCCAAATCAAGAGCGAACTGCCATTCGCAATTGCTACAAAAAGAATAAAATACCTTGGAATACAACTCACAAGGAACGTAAGGGACCTCTTCAAGGAGAACTACAAACCACTGCTCAACGAAATCAGAGAGGACACAAACAGATGGAGAAACATTCCATGTTCATGGTTAGGAAGAATTAATATCGTGAAAATGGCTATACTGCCCAAAGTAATTTACAGAATCAACGCTATCCCCATCAAGCTACCATTGACTTTCTTCACAGAACTGGAAAAAACCACCATGAACTTCATATGGAACCAGAAGAGAGCCCGCATAGCCAAGTCAATTCTAAGCAAAAAGAACACAGCGGGGGGCATCACACTACCGGATTTCAAACTATACTACAAGGCTACAGTAATCAAAACAGCATGGTACTGGTACCAAAACAGAGATATAGACCAATGGAACAAAACAGAGGCACTGGAGGCAACACAACATACATACAACTATACAATCTTTGATAAACCTGACAAAAACAAGCAATGGGGCAAGGATTCCATGTTTAACAAATGGTGTTGGGAAAACTGGCTAGCCATGTGCAGAAAGCAGAAACTGGACCCCTTCCTGACACCTTACACTAAAATTAACTCCAGATGGATTAAAGACTTAAACATAAGACCTGGCACCATAAAAACCCTAGAAGGAAATCTAGGCAAAACTATCCAGGACATAGGAGTAGGCAAGGACTTCATGAACAAAACACCAAGAGCATTGGCAACAAAAGCCAAAATAGACAAATGGGACCTAATGAAACTCCACAGCTTCTGCACGGCAAAAGAAACAGTCACTAGAGTGGATCGGCAACCAACAGAATGGGAAAAAATTTTCGCAGTCTACCCATCTGACAAAGGGCTGATATCCAGAATTTACAAAGAACTCAAGCAGATTTACAGGAAAAAAACAAACAAGCCCATTCAAAAGTGGGCAAAGGATATGAACAGATACTTTACGAAAGAAGACATATATGAGGCCAACAATCATATGAAAAAATGCTCATCGTCACTGGTCATCAGAGAGATGCAAATCAAAACCACATTGAGATACCATCTCACGCCAGTTAGAATGGCGATCATTAAAAAATCTGGAGACAACAGATGCTGGAGAGGATGTGGAGAAAAAGGAACACTTTTACACTGTTGGTGGGAGTGTAAATTAGTTCAACCATTGTGGAAGACAGTGTGGCGATTCCTCAAGGCCTTAGAAATAGAAATTCCATTTGACCCAGCAATCCCATTACTGGGTATATATCCAAAAGACTATAAATCGTTCTACTATAAGGACACATGTACATGAATGTTCATTGCAGCACTGTTTACAATAGCAAAGACCTGGAATCAACCCAAATGCCCATTGATAATAGACTGGATTGGAAAAATGTGGCACATATACACCATGGAATATTATGCAGCAATCAGAAATGATGAGTTCGTGTCGTTTGTAGGGACATGGATGAATCTGGAAAACATCATCCTCAGCAAACTGACACAAGAACAGAAAATGAAACACCGCATATTCTCACTCATAGGTGGGTGATGAAAAATGAGAACACATGGACACAGAAAGGGGAGTACTAAACACTGGGGTCTATTGGGGGGAAAAGGGGAGGGCCAGTGGGAGGGGGAGGTGGGGAGGGATAGCCTGGGGAGAAATGCCAAATGTGGGTGAAGGGGACAAGAAAAGCAAAGCACACTGCCATGTGTGTACCTACGCAACTGTCTTGCATGCTCTGCTCATGTACCCCAAAACCTATAATCCAATAAAAAATTAAAAAAAAAAAAAAAAAACGCAGGGATCGCAATTTGGATTACAATTCAAGATGAGATTTGGGTGAAGACACAGAGACAGACCACATCAGTAATCATTTTATTATTGTTGCTGCTGTGTTTGTCTAACATTTCTGTAATGGATGGGCTGGAGAAAGGGGTCAGTTTAAGAAGACAACTTTAAGATGTTTTGACTAATAGATATCTCAGAGACAGCTATTAGTTATGTATAATAGATGTCAAGAGCTTTTAGTATCTACTAGGATATAGATAGAAGGGAATAAGTTGACACGAATTCCTGATTAAATTATTGCTTCATATTAATTTGTCATATTCAAATTCCTGTTATTATTATAGCTTTATGACACAGTTTACAAGTTTAGGCACTTTCTACCAATAATAGACCTTGAGTTAATCTGTTTCAAGTTATCCTATTATAATGGTTTACAGATGGATTACTTGAGGTTAGTAGTTCGAGAGCATCCTGGCCAATGTGGTAAAACCCCTTCTCTACTAAAAATACAAAAGTTAGCCAGGTGTGGTGGCAAATGCCTGTAATCCTAGCTATTAGGTAGGCTGAGGCAGGTGAATTGCTTGAACCCAGTATGCAAAAGTTGCAGTGAGCCAGGGTCATGCCACTGCACTCCAGCCTGGGTGACAGAGCAAGCCCCGTCTCAAAAAAATAAACTATATAGGAGGCAGTCTTTACAAATCTTTGATTCTAAACTTGAAAAAAAAAAGTTTAAAAGAATATTTTACATAGAATTCAAAGGAAATATGCAAAGGTAGATTTCAAAACCATAATTTTTACCCTAAGTAAGAGATTCACTTACTTAAGAGGAACAAATTAAAAGTATTGTCTGTGTGTGCAGTCTAGATGTCCAATATATCCCTGCTATCCCAGAGTATAAAGATATCACTATACAAAACTACATATTGGGTAAATAGCTACAAATTAAGGCAATTGAGGTAAGAATGGTATCTACTTAGTCATTTATTGATGCCCCATGGTTTCATCTTAATGTTATTTTCCTAGTAATAGTTCTTGAAAGGCCAGACAAATAACAGCATAGTCTGATATGTCAGAGTTTTTCTGTTTTTTGATTGTCAAATTATCAAGTTGTATTGAATATTGTTTTTCAGGTTTCCCTAGAAAGAGAACGACAACATGGTCAAACACATATTCAGAGCCAACTTGAAAAATTGGATCTTCTTGAACAGGAGTATAACAAACTTACCACAATGCAGGCCCTTGCAGAAGTCAGTGCATCTATCTTTTTATTGTTAACATGTATCAGGGTATTTTTTTAATGTTTATTATTTTGTATCACTGGATATTTATAGCATTAAAAATGCTCTTAAAATTAAGTCTATTGGAGTTTTAAAAAGAAAATATAAATTTGGAGAGAATGTTCACATTTTACAATCTTGGTGGGCATGAGGGAATTTTTTATGAAAATGTTTGTTAAAAAATTAAATATTTTTGAGTATTTTTAAGGCTTGCATCACTTGGTTTAAGTTAAGTTGCTCTCTGAGCTAATTTTAATTATTTCACGTGGGAGATATATAATATTTAATACACAGAGAATGAAGTTCCAGATTTAACCTTTATATCCCTGTTTACATTCATTCATACAGTGCTGTGTTCTTTGGCCATAGATTTTAATGGACAAAATAATTGAATGCAAAGGAGGAGATGATAAATAATTGAACACAAAGGAGGAGAGCATCATGGATGCTGTCCAGCTAAGAGCCCCCATTATTACAGTGATCTAACCCCCTTATGTTGACTAGGATAAAATTTACATGTTCCTATGCTGCTATAATAAAATTTTACTGACACTTAAAATTTTTCACTATTATTCCTTTTGATATTTTTATCACTAGAAAAAAATGCAAGAGTTAGAAGCAAAACTCCATGAAGAAGAGCAGGAAAGGAAACGCATGCAAGCTAAGGCAGCTGAGGTAAGTTAAAATGTGAGAAAGTGGGCTCTTCATATTTTTTACCACTTTTTATGTGCATGTAAACAATTACATTTGGGTATCTTATTTATGTTTTAGAATAGTCCAACATACAAATTTTCAGATGTAGATTAATACAGAAAATTATGAACAAGTATTTTTATAGACAGTAAAATTTGAACAATTTTTTAGCATGTTTGTAATTGTGGAGTTTCAACATTTTAAAAAATGACAGACTTAAAAAAAAATCAGAGACTATGCACATAAGAAGGTATGTAATCCTGTAAAACTTCTTATCGTGGCCACTTTCAGAAACATTTAAAAGCTGTCGTTCAGTATCTCACTTACAGGTACTTCTTTGGTGGCCTCAAGATACCAGGACAGAAGTTGAGGTAGTGGGCTGCCCCAGTAGCTAATGACCCAGACCAGTTAACAGAAGCCATCACATGAGGAAAATGATCTCTGTTCTCTCCCTGTTTTGGATTTTATCCCGTGCAGTGGCCATCAGATAGAATAGGTGAGGCAGTTTGGATTCACAAAAGCATTGAATTTATATGTACCAATTATATGTACCAACCAGAACTGCATTTCTAGGAGATATTTAGCAAGACACTAAGTAACTCTGACTTACAGACTCAGTAAAATAAAATTTTCATGTTTTTAACTGAAGACACTCTCCTTATGAGCTTAATTGCTCAGATTCCTCCCAGATACTCCTCTGCCCCTTCCAGGGTCTTTTATTTTTATGAAGTTTACATATATCTTTTTTTGTATGAACACAAGAGTCAGGTCCTGATTTCAAAGTAGAGCCTCTGCAGTTCGATCTGTGACCAAAGGCCTACAGTGTCTTGGGCTCACTTCAGATATGTGATTACAGGAATATAAACATTATCTCATCTTTGTTACCCTGTCTATTTCTTCTAGTGCTTCTCTAAATTTATTGACTTATTTTCTGTCCGTTAAACCTGATATATTTCCTTCTCAAGTATTTTTACCTTCTGATCAATTTGCAGATTTATTGTTACTGTTTTTCCTCAGTGTGCTTTCTGAGTTATATAGCCACATGGCTTAATTTTTGACCAACAGATTTTCTTTGCCCATTTTCTCTTCAGAGTTGGCCACTTCACTGTCTTCATTTCTATACTTGTAACAGACAAACGTGGGTTGTGCTTTATATGCATTGTGGTGTTGAGTACATTGTATGTGAAATACAAAATTCAGTAAGTTCCTTATTTAATGAATTTTTAAAATAATTTATGGTCCTTCAGTTTTCTCCTTCATTTACCAGGCAACACATAGGGACCAAATTAGTTGTTGCTGGTAATATATTATCAGTAAATATTTTGAGTTCTGATGGTGAACATTATTGTACTGAAAGAGCAATGAGGGATAGATATGTGGTTCCAATTCTAGCATTGGACAAGTTATGTAATTATTCAGAGCCTGGATTTTTACCATTGATAAAGCGTGATCTGCTGAGGTCAGGAGTTGAAGACCAGCCTGACCAACCTGATGAAACCCTGTCTCTACTAAAATTCAAAATTAGCCAGGTGTGGTGATGCATGCCTGTAATCATAGCTACTTGGGAGGCTAAGGCAGGAGAATCACTTGAACCTGGAAGGTGGAGGTTGCAATGAGTCGAGATCACACCATTAAACTCCAGCCTAGACAACAAGAAGAAAACTCTGTATCAAAAAAATAAAAAAGAGTGTTCCACATTTTACATCTTCTTGGTGTTGGGGTGATCACATGAAAATAAAAAATAATAAAAGTGCTTTGAAATGTTTTAAAACTGTAGCACACAATAAGGCAGCAGCTGCTGGGAAGAGCTAAATAAACTGAAAGTGATAATACTCAAAGTATTCTTGTATACTGTTTATACTCATTGACATCATAAGTCTTCTAGAGTAGGAATTTCCTGTTCCTTGAACTACGTCTAGTCAATTTACTATGTATAAAGCAATGTTAGATGTATTGGGAGTGTATAGTTGCTTATTGAGGGTAGAGATTCCTGTATTCCTTTTTCACAGAATAGATTTTTTTCCCCAAAGGGTGCAGTCATGTGGGAAGTATTAGTGATAATCTCAGCATTTGTTTTTTCGGAATCCACTGGTTCTGAGTATTTGTTCCAGCTCCATTATAATTTCCTGGGGAACTTTTAAAATACTTTAAAATATGAATTTCCTCAAACTGGAAGGCCCAAAGTCATGAGTTCTGGACAGGCGCCTAGCAATCCAAATTGTTCTCATAACTGCAGACAGTTTTGGTGTATATAGGCAGATTTGAAACAACTATTCTAGATAGGTGTTTTTTTAAAAAGTAAAGTTGAAAGTTGGCTTGGTGAAAAGAGCAGTTCCTTTTTTGAAATTCTTAGCAAGTACTTGTGGAATTTGTACCATGAAGATAGGATATTTTAAAATTAGTATAGTTACTAAGCTTCTAGAGAAAAGGGCTTGGTAATATTTGCCTAAGAGCTTCCACTTGTTTTTTGTTTGGGGATTTTTTGGTTATACATTTTCAGTTCCTTTTTCTTATACAGTAAGTGCATGGCTTTTTAGAAAGGGAAGAAATGTATTCTGCTCTTTGGCTGTTTAGTGTCTGGCAATGTAGTAGATGTCATTTTCGAAAAGAGAAAATATTGAAGCAATGGTTTGCTTCAATTGCACTTAACTCGTTTGATAGAATTTATGGAGTAACTACAAATACTGTGGGTAATGTGTTCCACGCTGAAGAAAGGACAAATTATAACAAAGTAGTTGAGACTGGTATTGATTTAAAATATTTGACAAACATTGATAGATTGACTCAAGACATAGTTATACAGCTATAATATGTTTTTCAGTTAGATACCGCTATTGATTTTTACAGGCTTTTTACATGACACATCTTAAATTTGAGTCATAGCTTTTATTTCTACAGCATTAACTTTAGGCTCTCATTTTTCTTAGTTGCAGACTGGTCTAGAAACAAATAGACTTATCTTTGAAAATAAGGCAACTCCACGTGTTCCCAATGCAAGAAGAATTAAAAAAAAGAAGTCAAAACCACCAGAAAAGGTATGAAAACAGAAGCAAATCAGGCAAAGTGCTGATTACTTTGTATATTTTATGTCAGAACACCCATAAACTGTGGTATACTGCAACCTTGGGAGAGTAAATCTTTCATTCTCAATTTCTTCATTCAGAAGGTGGAGATAAGTTATACCGACTGTCCATACAAGAGTAGCATTACTATTAGTACTGCATTATCTTGTGCTGTTACAGTATTTTATGTATATGTGTACTGAGTTTCTACTTAGAGTGTAACTGTTGCTTTGCCAACCCTAGGAAAGACTGGGGGGGCGGGGGGAAAGCATACTTTGGTAAGTACTGTTAGGAGCTGGCTTATGACCAAAATATCAGCTATAGATAAGGCAAGTAGTAGCCCATTAGTTAACTGAAGTTTCAAGTTACTCTTGTATAGTCAGTGTTTATTATCATGTGAATAAAATAAAATTGTTTTCCTTTTCTTTTCATTCAGAAAAGTTCTAAGAACTATTTCATTGCACAGCCACATTATAGATTATGCTTGGGTGATATGCCATTTGTAGCTGGGAAGGTGAGTTGGTCAAATTCTCAATCCTTCTTGTACAGTGTTGATCCTTGAATTGAATCCCTGCATCTGCAAGTTTGTCTATAAATGGTAGGAACATTTTTCTGTCCCTATACCAGTGTGAATCATAGTTAACATGAAAATGAGATGCAGGGAGGCTTTTTGAGATGGAGGAAGCAAGGAACAGATGGGGAGGGTAGCTTAAAGTAGATAAAGTATGCGTGGAAGGAAAGTGATAAAAGTGGAGACCCTAAGTTGAAAAAGATGTCGCTTCAGATAGGGGTCAAGGAAATAAGAAATAACATGTTTGTAGCATTGAAACTTTAGTATCAATCCTGATGATTTATATTTAGATATAGATATTTAAATAAGCATATAGCACATTCTGCTTGTCCTTACATCCACATCATTTCTAGGACTAATTCTCCAAGAAGCAGTCATACATACACTTGAATCTTACGTTTCTTTAGCACTTGAATATAAAGATATATTGTCATATATCAACAAGAACTGAATGAAATGCCTAAAACTGTGTTAGTTGACACTATGTAAGCTATTTGTGTTGCTGGTAGTTTTATGTTTAGATTCCAACTAGATTGTCATTCTAGCATCTTTGGAGGTAAATGTTCTTTTGCATTTTATACTTGTTTATATTTGTTTTAAGCCCCTAGTAAATTTGCAGTGAAATCATGGGGAATAGAATACATTAGTGGTGACAGGCATTTGAAAAAAGTACAGTTGACCCGTGAACAACATGAGTCTCAACTCTGTGTGGGTCTACTTATAAGCTGATTTTCTTTTTTTCAATAAGTATATCAGAAAAATTTTTGGAGATTTGCGGCAGTTTGAAAAAACTTGCAAACTGTAGCTTAGAAATAGAAGTTAAGAAAAAGTTGGTATGTCATGGATGCATAAAATTGTCAGTACTAGGGCATTTTATCATTTACTACCATAAAATATACACAAATTTATTTTTTAAAATTACAATTTATCAGAACAGTTTGTACACAGACACAGACTACATGGCACCATTCACAGTCCAGAGAAATGTAAACAGAGATAAAGTTGCACTATTAAATCATAACTGTGTAAAATTAACTGTAGTACATACTGTACAATCCTGATAATTTTGTAGCTACCTTGTGTTGCCATTGTGATGAGTTCAAGGGTTGGAAGTATTCACTTAAAATACCATGTGACACTAATCTTATATTTAGATATAGGTAGATATTTAAATAAGCATTAAAACAATGTTCTCTAGACAGTAGCATATTTTCCATCATGTTTAACGCAAAACAGTAAACCTTGATTAATACCGTAGAATGACGGTGGAAGTGCTCCCAAGAAGCAGAGAAAAGTCATAACATGATGAGAAAAAGTTGCATTGCTTGATATGCAGATTGAGGTCTACAGCTATGGTTGTCCACCATTTCAAAATAAATGAATCCAGCTGAAGGATCATAGTTTAAAAAAAAAAAGCAGTGCTAGGCATGGTGGGCTGCACCTGTAGTCCCAGCTACTTAGGAGGCCGAGAGAAGAGGATCACTTGAGCCCAGGAGTTCAAGGCTGTAGTGAGCTATGATTGTACCACTGCACTCCAGCCTAGGCAACAGAGTAAAATCTTGTCTCTTTAAAAAAAAAAAAAGGAAATTTGTGAAACTACCAACTGCACATACTCTAGCAGGTACCAAAACCTTGTGCTTTTCGCAAAATACCTTTTTATCTCATTGAGAATGCACCTTTTATGTGAATGCAGGATTGCTATAAGAAAGGCATACTTATAGATGCTAATATGATTTGAGAAAAAGGAAACTCATTATATGACAACTTAAAAGGAAGGTGAGGTATCTAAAGCTGGAGAATTTAATTCCAGCAAAGGATCGTTTGATAATTTTAGAGGTTTGGCTTTAAAAATGTCAAGATAGGAGAAGTACCTTCTGCTGATCAAAAAGCAGATCAGTCCCAAGATACCATTAAGAAAATCATTGAGGAGAAAGGGTATCTTCCTGAACAGACTTTTAATGCAGAGAGAAGTGCCCTATTCTAGAAGACCATGATGCCACAAAGGATATTTGTAAGTAAAGAATAGATGCAAGCACTGGGATTTAAGGCAAGAGAAGATATGCTAAATCTACTATTTATATGTGAAAACACAGTCGGATTTACAATCAGGACTGCCCTTATCGATAAAGCTGTGGAATCCCTGAGCTTTCAAGGGCAAATATATCCAACTGCCAGTCTTTGGTTTTACAATAAGAATGCCCCTTTAAGAACACTTTTTCTAAACTAGATCCATCAGTGCTTTGCCCCTGAAGTCATGAAGCAATTTGCCAGTAAGAGACCGCCTTTTAAAGTCTTTTTAAGACTAGGCAATGCCGCTAGCCACCCAGGAGTGTGGAAGTTCAACACCAAAGGCACAGAAGTAGTCTTCTTTGCCCCTAAACACTATGTTTCTAATTCAGCTTCTAAATCAGGGAGGATAAGAACCTCTAAGGAACGTTATATACACTATAGAGAGGGTTCTCAATGGTGTGGTAGAGAACCTCAGAACATTATGAAAGTCTGGAAGGATTACACAGTTGAAGATGCCATCATTTTTATAGAAAAAGCCATGAAAGCCATCAAGCCTGAAATAATTCCTGCTGAAGAAAATCATGATATGCATAATTTCATAGGATTTATGGCAGAGCCAATCAAGGAAATCATAAAAGAGACTGGAGATATGGCAAAAAAAGGTTGGAGGTGAAGAATTTCAAGATAGGAATCTTGGAGAAATTCAAGAGTTAATAGAAACCGTGACAGAGGAATTAACATAAGACGACTGGGATGGATATGAGTGCTTTCAAACCAGTAGAAGACAACGAAGAAGTAATGTCAGAAAACAAATTGACATTAGACAATCTGGCAGAAGGATTCTAATTATTCAGGACTGCTTTTGAGGTTTTCTTGTGTTTTGTTTTGAGATGGAAGTCTCGTTCTGTCACCTAGGCTAGAGTGCAATGGCACGATCTCAGCTCACTGCAACCTCCACCTTCCAGGTTCGAGCAATTTTTCCACCTCAGCCTGCCAGGTAGCTGGGACTATAGGTATGCACCACCATGCCTGGCTTATTTTTGTATTTTTTTGATAGAGGCGGGGTTTCACCATGTTGGCCAGGCTGGTCTCGAAATCCTGACCTCAGGTGATCTACCCGCGCTGGCCTCCCAAAGTGCTGGGATTATAGGCATGAGGCACTGTACCCGGCCTGCTTTTGACTTTTATGACATAGACCTTTCTATGATACATCAGTGAAACTAAAGCACATAGTGGAAGAAGAATTGATGTCATAAAGAAACATTTTTAGAGAAATGAAAAGGTAGAAAAGTCAGACAAATTATGGTGTATTTCTGTAAAGTTACACCGAATGTGCTAGCCTCTCCTGCTTCTCCTTTCACCCTCTGTACCTCATCTGCCTCTGCCATTCCTGAGACAGTGAGACCAACCCTACTCTTCTGCCTACTCAACAGTTAAGATAATGGGGATGAAGGCCTTTATGGTAATCTAGTTGACGAATAGTAAATATACTTTCTCTTCCTTAGGATTTTCTTAATATTTTCTTCTAACATTAGAATATAGTTTATAATGCCTAAAACATAATGTAAATGCTTCTAGTCAACAGCAGGCTAATAGTTATATTTGAGGGCATTCAAAATTTTATTATAGTTCTCTGGAGCTGAATGATCAAAACACATGGACACATAGTGGGAACAACATGCACTGGGGCTTTTTGGTGGGGGAGTTGGTCAGCGGGGAGAGAGAGCATCAGGAAGGGTAGCTAATGGTTGCTGAGGTTAATACCTAGGTGATGGGTTAATCTGTGCAGCAAACCACCATGGCACACATTTACCTATGTAACAAATGTGCATGTACCCCAGTACTTAAAATTTGAAGGAAAACAAAAGTTTTCTTATAGCAGGGTTTTGACTGCATGGGTGGTCGGTGCCCCTAACCCCTCCATTGTTGAAGGGTCAACTGCATATTAATAAATATAATCAGTACAAGAACAAGAGAATGTTTTAAATTTTTGCATATTGAAAGTATACTTGTAGGCAATTAGTATAATAAATACATATTGCAAGTTATAGGCAAAATCGCAGTTACATTGATTTTTGAATAGTGGACCAGCCATGCATTGTAGTAATAAACCCCACTTGGATGCAATATATAATACTGCTGCATTCAGTTTGCTAGCTAACAATAGAAACTAAGATTAGAAGGAAAGCAAGTGTTTACCTTAGAATGGTGGTTCCAAATCTGGCTAGTCAGAATCAACTGGAGTACTTAAAAACACAAATTTCCAAACTCTAACTCTGCAGTGAGTTTGGTGTGCTGCTTAGGAACCTACATTTTAAATATGCTGTCTAATGATATGTATGGAGCCAAGTAAGCCCAGCCATCTATTTGTAAAGTGGAATAGCACATTGAGATTGTTGTTTTAGTGTTTAAAACAAAAATATTTTTGAGAAGTTTATCAGGTTTTTCTTACACATGTGATAGATATGTATTTAGTGTTTCTTATTATTCCAAGATAGAGAAATGAGTAATAGTCTCTACCACCTGGATGTACACTGTTTCATAGGTAAAATAGATATGTGAAAGCAATTACAGTATATTATGATAAATGCTATGAGAGAGATATGTAAAAAGTGTTATAGGTGATCTGGAATGGACTGATTAATTACCTGGCAGTTTTAAGGAAGCCTTTAAAAAATAACATATTTGAACTGGGTTTTAAAGAATGATATAAATGTCAAAAAAAAAAAGGTCATCTGCAAATATGGTTTGTTCATAAAATGGAGAGAAGTGGGGGACGATAGGACATGCGGCTAGAAAGTGTAGGTTACAGCTCAATGATGTGTATGTAGGGCCTTATTTTCCATTCTGAAGCATAGTTAGTGGATTTATATCAAAGGATTTCAAATAGAAGAACATCATGATCAGACTAATATTTTTAGGATTTATATACTATACTTTGTGGAGTGGAGAGTTCTTTTTACCTAGGTTTAGGGCAATAAAAAGGGGTGTAGAAAATATAGCTTCAATTATTTCTTTCATCATTTTTCTTCCTTTAGTCCACAAGTCCTAGCCATGCTGTGGTAGCCAACGTTCAGCTTGTCCTGCATCTAATGAAGCAACACAGTAAAGTTTTGTGCAATGATCGAGTTGTCAGCAGTATTCCTTTGGCAAAGCAAGTATCTTCACGAGGTGGTAAAAGTAAGAAGTTGTCAGTAACACCTCCCTCCTCCAACGGTATTAATGAGGAGTTGTCAGAAGTCTTACAGACTTTACAGGATGAATTTGGGCAAATGAGCTTGTGAGTTGTTGGTTTTTAAATTTCCACTCTAAAACCTCATTTTTTTTTAAACTTGTTGACTTTATTAATCTTACTTTCCTTTGTTCAGCAAGTATAGTTGAGCACAATCTTTATACCAACCAAGTTACTGAGACTTTAACAAACACAACTAATAAGGGTAAAATCTCTCTTTTTAAATACTGTTAAATGTTTTGAAGACCAATGTTTACACTAAAGTTTTATTTATTTGAGAACTTGATATACAGTTATTCATCACTGATGACAAAGATGTGTTCTGAGAAATATATAGATGATTTATTTTCTCCCTGTGCTAACTTAAGAGTATACTAAGCTTATGGCCTATTGCTCCTAGGCTATAAACGTGTACAGCATGTTACTCTACTGCTGAATACTATCAGCAGTTGTAACACAATGGTAAGTATTTCTGTATGTAAACATATCTTGGTACAGTAAAAATGTGATATTAAAGTTTATGGGACCACTGTTGTATATGTGGTCTATTGTTTACTACTGCATCATCATTGGGTACCTGGCATTACGTTCATTTTAGCTAAACTTAACCTGGTAAGTTAGGATGTGAGTATTTGAACAACAAGATTTATCTCTAGACTTTGCTTTACATATACAATAGTCTTTTGGGGAAAATATGAATTTAAAGAATTATCTTTGAAATTAAGAACTCTTGAATTTGCTTCCAGTGCCTTTTTTGAACTTTTTATTTCGTATTTTCAATTAAAAATGTGTTGCTCTATTCAAAAACTGGATTCGTTTTTAAACACATGGAGCAGTAACCCCATAATGAGTAAGGTATAGTAGACCTAACCATGAAACATAGAAAACTTAACGATGTTCTACTTCTGCTTTGTATATAGTGATCACCAGCAGCTTACAAAACTTATCCAGGAGTCACCAACTGTTGAACTGAAAGAGAACTTAGAGTGTGAATTGGAGGCATTAGTGGGAAGGATGGAAGCAAAAGCCAACCAAATAACTAAAGTTCGAAAATACCAAGCCCAGGTAACTCAGTTTTCCTTCACTCAAGTTTCTAATGATTAACAAAGAACCCAAAAACCCTTTAATTCAAATATTAAAAATGATGACACTAAGTGTATTATAGATAAGTATCTGTAGGAGATACTTCTTTACTGAAGACATTTGTTCATTAGGAGTTGGTAGTGGATTAGGGAAGATGCTGTCTTTTAGTCACTTAGCATATTCATCTAGGATACATCTTTCAAATACTGACTATATTTAATATTCTTTATGAATAAGCTTTAACCAGTTCTGAGTTTATCCAAGTAAGTCTTTTTAAAAAGCACCTGGAAAATTCTATTTCCAAAGGAATAAGTCACACATTAACTATGTGAAATATATTTGTTACTAATTATTTTATATCAGCCAACAATATTGTATCTACTAGATGCAGTGATGACATCACACTGAAGGATTTTCATTGAGAGAGAAACATGATTCATGTATTTAAGAGATTACTGTGGTGACTTAGGAGTAGGGTGATGGGATCAAGGCAGAGAGGCTCAGAGACCAGCTATAGACATATCAGAGGTGGTCAGCAAGACGGTAGTTGCAGTTGGGCAGAGGTAAACAGATTTGAGGTATGTTTTGGAAGTAAAAAAATATATATTTGGGGTTACTTGCTGCTGGGTATCATGTAGAAGGAGAGGAAGTTAGCCAGGATGGTGATTTCACTGATTGAAATGGAGAAGGCTGAGAAGTTCTGAGAGCAGAACAGGTTTGTTTGGCTGTTGATTGGTAGCCATATGATAGACACACTGCCAAGTGCTTTGAGTATATCATCTCATTTAATTTTCATAAAAGGCTTATGAAGTGTGTGTATATTCTCACATTATAGATGAGGATGCTAGGCTACATTTTCTGGGAAGTATGCATATATCCTCAGTGAAATTAAATAACCTGCTCAAGTACCAGCTCACTGGGAAAGGGCAGAGCTGGGATGAAACGGGCCTTTTCAACTCTAAAACTTGGGCTATTTTTTTTTTTTTTTTCCAAAGTTAATGTATGAAAAAAAAATACCAGCAAATTATTCCTGTAGGAGTAAGGAGTAACGGTCTAATCTGTTACTTATACTAATTGGCTTTATTCTTTTTTTATATATATACTTTGAAAAATACATTTTAATCCAAAAGTTTTGCATGTTAGCATTTAGAAAGTATTCACAGTGTTATTTACAATCAATTTTAGTATTTTGTGAATAAAGAGATAATTATGTACATGGAGCTACCTACAGTTGTTTCTTTCCAACTCACAAACCATAACTGCGTAGACAAAGGGTAAGAGTTAAAGCTGCTGCAGCTCAAAATTATTATGATCAACTTATATTCTGCAAATTTTCCCAGGGTTGAAAAATGCTGGTTAAATCAGGAAAGAGGAGGAGGCAAATGAGTGTACCCCACTCCTCCATTTTACATGGTGCTCCTTTACTTAACTGGCAAAGACCTGTACCTGAATTCTAGATAATTTCATATATAACAGGCCTCTTATTATGGGTCCATAGTAGATGGTTTAGGGTAGACATTTTAAAGACAAAAATGCTAATGGCCTATCAGTGACTTTCGTCACTGCCCTATCCTCGTTTTAATGGTATTCAAGAAACTATCAAGCGGGATACCTGATGTGAACATGTTTCCTCTGTGGCTTTGGTGAAGCTGACTATCTGCAGTATAAAATCTTATGGTTTAATTTGAAGCCTCATTTTGGCTGGAAACAGTAAATAGCAGCGCTATGAAGATCAATGGAATGGTTCTGAATTCCTGTTTGCTACAGAAGGATTAGATGAAAGTTTTTTCTTTTCTTCTTTTTTTTGAGACGGAGTCTTGCTCTGTCACCCAGTCAGGAGTGCAGTGGTGCAGTCTCGGCTTACTGCAGTCTCTGTCTCTGGAGTTCAAGCAATTCTTCCACCTCAGCCTCCCGAGTAGCTGGGATTACAGGCACACACCACGACACTCAGCTAATTTTTGTATTTTTAGTAGAGGCAGGGTTTCACAATGTTGGCCAGGTTGGTCCTGAACTCCTGACCTCAAGTGATCCACCCACCTAGGCCTCCCAAAGTGCTGGGATAACAAGTGTGAGCCACTGCACCCGGCATAGATGAAAGTCTTAAAAAGTCTAAGAAAATCAGCCACTTTTCTTATGGTTAAAGCACTAAAAAGCTGTCACAACATTTTTGAGATGAGAATAAGGCTTATGTGGCTTTATGATAGATACTGTTAGTTATTTTATTTGATTAAGCCCTTGATTAGTCATCTAGACCTTAATATTTTGTTCTTAAAGAAAAATACAATCTATTTTATAAGTTTCTAGAAATAAATAATGGAGGAAAAATAGATACTACGTGTTCCTAATGGTCTCTCTGGAAATTACAGCTTTTGTCTGGGAAGATACACATATAGAATGTAATTTAACTTCAAAATATATTTCATCCTATTCTATCCCTTTTATTTTATTTGTTAATTTATTTTGAGACAGAGTCTTGCTCTGTCGCCCAGGCTGGAGTGCAGTGGCACAATCTCGGCTTACTGCAACCTCTGCCTCCCGGGTTCAAGCAGTTCTCTTGCTTGGAACACCAACATGCCAGCAGCAGTTTGGCTAAAGTAAAAATAAAGCTCACCTATTTTAAATTATTCTAAAAATAATGGAACAAAAATAAAACCCTTTTCATAGTATTAATACATCACCATCTGGAACTTGCTTCTTTGCCTGCTCAGGCTAGTTTCTAGAATGCCTTTCTCCTCTTCCCCAATTTGTGAAAATCCTTCCCATTCTTCATTCCCGTGTCTGATTTTTTGCCTCCTCCATGAGTCCTTCCATCAGCTCTCCTTGTTTCTCACTCACCCTGTTCTGTACTTTGACAACATTGCCTTAATTTAGGACAACTAGAATTGATCTGTTTACTCATGTTTACTTGTTTGTATGTTGTTATATATATATATTTAAGCATATATTCGTTATTCGTATTCATGTTTAAGTGTTAAATGACTAGTGCAGATTTTTAAGTCTCAAAAACGTAGAATATATTATTTCAGTTTCACCTAGCATGAGACTTACCAAAAGAAGGTACCCTTTTGTCCTTTTCGTTGTCAGAAAAAATATGTTCATTAAATTCTCCTTTTCCTTCCTGCCTTGGTTATTTGATATAGCTGGAGAAACAGAAGTTAGAGAAGCAGAAGAAGGAGTTAAAAGCTACCAAAAAGACTCTTGATGAAGAAGGAAAGAGCAGCAGCCGTTCTTCTGGAATCACAGGGACCACAAATAAGAAAGATTTTATGAAACTGAGACCTGGAGAAAAACGCAGAAAAAACCTTCAGTTATTGAAGGACATGCAAACCATACAGAATTCATTACAAAGCAGTAGTTTGTCTTGGGATTACTGACTTATAACGAGGTCATAAATTTTATTCAGATAATCCATACCTCATCAATCAGATGTTGACAGTTTACTTCCCAGGTCTCATACTAACTTATGTTGAAATTAATTTATAGCAGGTGTTTAAGGGACCCAGGCTTCATTACACAGGCTTTTTGTGTCTGCAGCATGACTCAATGTTAAAGCATTTAAACAGAAACCAGGGGAGTTGAGAAAGCCTGAGAAACCACACATTATCTTGTTTTGTTGAGATGAGTTTGCTGTACTGATATATTGCACTTTGTAAACAGATTACCAGTTTTTTACTTGTGGGTGTGATTTTTAAAAAATAGTTCTTTAAAATTAAAATTAGGTTTAAAATTTCAAAATATGAGACTATGCCATAGGCAGTGCTTGCTTGAAAAGTCTCATTTTTAAATCTTTCCCTGGCATGAAGTGCCCACTTCCCCTTTCCAAAGCAACCATTAAAGATACTTTTTGTTTCTATTATTGGTGGAGTTTTACTATATTAAAAAATTTATATTTAAGAGGATTTTAATTTTGCTTTTTGGCATTTGACTTTTATCAGTATTAAGTGGACTTCCTTTTTAATCTATTGTTCATTTTTTAAAAACAAGCAATTTTAAGTTACATCTGTAAAAATTATAAAAGGATTTTTGAAAGTAACTTATGCTTTGAGCATACACCTTCACAGTTCTTAAATAATACCTGTTCTGTAATCATGATACTCACTCAAGGCATAGCGGTTTTTAATCTCAAAACTCAGAGAACCCTTTGAATTATTTGCTTTTACAGGTGTACAGTATGAGTGGAATATGAACTGTGCACATAATTGTTATCCTATTCATATAATTTCAACTAGATCAAGATGTTAACCTTTTATAAATTTGAAGTCAATAAAGCACCTTTTTAAAGGAAACACTGAAACTTTCCTTAACAGCCTGTTAATAAGGGCTTTGTAATAAGCTCCGAAAACATGCATTTCTAAATAGGACATCAATGTATTGATGACGAGAAAAAACTAGTACTTAGTTGCCATTCTCATGCTTACATAGAAACAGAGCCAAAAAATATTAGATTTCTCATGATATAAGGTAATTCAAGAGTGCGAATGAACATGTTAGCCACATATTAGAGGAATTCCTTATATGCCTCCCCTAGAATTGAGTTAAAATTCTTAGATTATATCCAGACATCCAGCATGAATTGTCATGGCTTCCTGGGCACCAGGCATGTCAGGCTTTTCTATAGTAACAGGTTTTAATTTAGGATCCTTAAATAGATTTTGGGGTATTATTTGTGACTCTCCTGAAATAGTAACCTCGGGTTTGTTTGTCCAGTTTTCTAATGAGTAGGTTTGTGACTTGATTGAATTAACCATGAGCCCATAGCCACAAGGAAAGTGAGAAGCAGTGCTCTGGTGACATGATAAATATATTTGTTAACCACCATTTCAACTATTAAAAACTGCTATTCTCGCCTTGTTTGAATTTCAGGTCACTAAACTGTATAACCATCATTTGAATTGTAGTGGCTCTGAGTCCTCATTAGAATGGTGACTGAATGATGCTAAAGCCCACCCTATTTCTCAACTAGGATTCAAACTGATGTAACTACTCCAGTTTTTTGTACTCTCAGGTGAGAAGGGAAAACAAAGTACTGCTTTAGTTTTCTTATCTGCAAGTTTACAGTAGAGGAATGTCATCCATCCACTTGTGTTTTAACAGAGCTTTATTGCAGTTCATTTCAAATAAGAAAAGTATGTTTACAGACTTGGGGTTGACATGTGAATTATTCATTCCAATACAATGTGTGAACTGCAGTGGTAGAAGCCATATACACAATGCTGTGGGGACACAGAGGAAGGTGGGGACGTCAGAGAAGGCAGTCATGAATCAGGTAACTTCCCAGAGGAAGAAATGCCTAAACTCTAGAAAATAGTAGTTCAAGGGAGAACAGTTGTTCCAGGTGCACAAGATAGATTGAACAAAAGTGGGGAAGTAGGAATCTGCAGATTATATGAGGCAATTGTGAACAGCAGAATAGCATTTGTACATGAAAGTTGAGGTATGCAGAGACTAGGTCGAAGGAGGCTAAGGAGCTTCAATTTAATCATACTGGTCTCTGACTTTTGTAACCCTAATGATAAAGGGAAAAAATCACACCAGCACAATCAATAGACATATAAAGTTATGAAACACGTAACTGTCAATTCAAATATTTAAAGTTTTGATTGTGTAAATATGTAAAAAAGAGCTAGTATTCCCCCTTCCACACACACCAGTGGTATGTCTTAAAGGCTCAAGTGCATGTACTCCATATTGGGGACGTCTGCAGAAGGTGAGGGGAACCACTGGAAAAAGGTTCTCAACAGGGAAGTGACAGGGTTGTACTTAGATTTCCCTGGCTTTTTATAGGAATTTGAAGTGGATGCAAGTATATTAAGACTACAAGCTTTAAATTCTTGATCTCTTCAGCCATTCTACATTCTTTTATGTGGTGTCAGACTAAGATAATAAGGGTTTAATGAGGAAAATGACAGATGCGTTTGTGAAATGTTTGGAGTGGAAAACTTAATACTGATTTGCTAACCCTTAAATGCCTTGTTAAAAAGCTTCTATTTCACACAATTACCAAATAAATCATTCTGGTACCAATTTTGCTAAATTGGATAGAAACTAGTTCCTCATTGCAAGACCAAGATGGAGGCTAAGGTTCAGACTCCCTGTATAGTGAATTAGTAAAAGTGAAAAAACGCTGTTTATTTTCATTGTTTGAATGGGTGTTGGTTAAGGAAAAATGGGTACAAATTGAAATTTTCATTTGGGGTACATATTCCTCCAGTAATTTCCAAATATTTCTGGGGGAAAAAAGAAAATTAAGGCAACTTTGGACAAGAACAAAATTTAAAAGTCAGTTGGAATTTCTTTTAATTAAAAGACCAAGGGACAAGAAGCTCCTTTGTTACAGTACATTACATATGGCTCTTACATAGAGTAAAATAGACATCAGAGTCAAATGTTTCTACCAGCACCGAACTCTTACTTATAGCAGGTGAACAGTGAAGCAAGATTTCTTTTACTGGCTTTGAGATTGTAATACATCTTTTACATGCAGTATGTTCTTTGGTAGACTTAATCATTCAGTGGAATTACAGAATTTGCAAAGGAAAAAATATATAATGTAAAATTTGAGCATAATACTTCTCACCATAAGCTGTTTATACAGACTTGAGGGAAAAAAAGTCAGTCCTAGTAAGATTTTTAAATATTTCTTAAAAACTTGCCAGTTTGCTTCTGTGTGTTTAGACACACAAAACAAATGAAATAAAGTGGAGTAAATCATTAGTTTTTAAAATACATTCCATGATGTTTCTGGTAACTGGGCTAATATGAAGGGCATGGAATTCTCTGAACTCCTGTATGGCTACTTTCTCCCCTTTATCTTCCCCCAAGTATATCTATAAGGCCTCCCATTTTGTATCAACTTTATAATATACCTTAAGTAGGTAAATAATGACAGCAGTAATTTTTCAACTATGACTATGCCATAATATCTTCAACACTGCCTTTTATTGTATGAAGAATATGGAAGTTAAAAAAAATTGGTCAAGGTAAATCAGAAAGGGATATGAAATGATTTTGATCTGTCATGGCATCAAGACCCAATATATATGATGCCACAGAATTTCAGTGTTAGTTTGAAAACTTCCTCTGCATAGTGACCAGAGTGTATTTCTAAAATGGTTTTAATATTACCAGATGGCAAGATTTATAACAGTATTTTCCGTTTAATAATAAAAACTTGTTCCCACTGTGGATCCAGGATTGAAGTATTTTAATATTCTCTGGATACCTAAAAGATTAGTGTCATAATCATGTAATTACATATGGAGTTATTTCACTTAAGCGACCTGCACTGTTATAGTTCTAAACTCATCCTAGAGAGATTTAAAATAAATAAAGTGACTGAACCTTCTCTCATAGATGGGTTCTAAATTTGGAAGACTTTCTACTCAAAGCTGCCAGTGTAATCAAGAGTGTGTAGCAATGATGCCCCTGATTATACAATCCTTTATACAACAGTTTGGACCGGAGTGACACACTGTGCAGGAGAGCTGGCTCTCTCTGAGGATGAGGTTGATCGGTTGGAAATCTCTCTCTGTAGTTCCTCTACTTTTTTCTGAAGCTCTGCTCGTTTAGCAAGAAGTTCTTTATATCTGTTGTGAATAGGTTCCTGTAAGAGCAAAACATAGAATCATTCAACTAGGCAATCCTGCCCAAAGCCAAAGTCAAATCATTCCCTAAATGTTGCAGTGTATGCTTTTTCAGCTGTTGGAACCACTGGCGCCTTTCCAACCCATCAGTGAAGTTAAATACAGAGACTTTGGATACCACTACTCTTTTCACTGGGTTTCCCAGTGACCCTGAGTACTTCCAGAGAATACCTACTGCATAGATGCTCCTGAAACTGGTATTTTACCAAATACAACAAATATTTAAGACAATTAAAAAACCGTCGTCAGAAGATTCCCTATCAATTAGTTGTAGGTTTTTAGCCTTGAACAGTTCTAAGTAGTTAATATTCCATAACATATTCAGAGTACACCAGAATTTTGTTCAGCTATTAACTTTACTAAAGCTATTTTCTTAAGCTTATTAAAACAAGTCCCCTAGAGGTCCAGACAGAGGAGGGAAGATGCGAAAAAACAGATAAGTGATTTGTCCAATGTCATACAAGCAGTCCTAAGAACCAGGTGTACTGATTATCCTGCCCCAGTGTAGTACATTTTCTACTATACCATTGTACCTACTGGTGAGTAAAGTTGTAAATATGCACAGATGATCTTTCTAGCTGCTTTTTAACAAAACAAAGTTGCATTGCATGGATGAAAACTCCTATTGTATATTGTACAGCACATACCTGTGGTTTCATCCGTGGATTCCACCTTATGTAATATCCCACCCAGAGCTCTAGGTGGCGCATGCTGGCTACTGGATAAAGGACATGATTGGAATAGCTCCCATAGAGAGGATTAGTGAAGTCTTCCAGCTGGCTATTTATGTAAGACCACAGTGACACAGTCCTTTTAGGAAGATTCTGTAGGCAGGAAAAACAGGTAAAGATTCTCCACCACATAGGCCATTTACACTTTAGATGAACTTTGTAAAGAATTATTTTGTAGTCATTAAAATCTCTTTAGAGGAACAGAGACTTCAGTGATAAACCAACTTATATAAAATCAGAGGGTACTGGAAAACAGTCTCTAGTTCCTCAAAGACATAACATATGACCCAGCAATTCCACTCCTGTACATCTCCAACAAAACTGAAGACATGTCTATACAAAAACTTTGTTACAGATGTTCAAAGCGGCACCAGTCTTAATAGCCAACAAGTGAGAGCAACCCGTAAGTCAGTCGAACTGATGAATGGGTAAGTAGAATATATGTACATAATGGAATATTATTCAGCCATAAAAAGAAACAACACATGCTATAAAATGTATGAACCTTAGAAATTTTCTAAAATGAAAATGTGGCAATGGCTATACAACTCAGACACACTAAAAATCAGTAAACTATAAAATTTACTATGAAAGTAAATTTCATGGTATGCAGATTATCAGTTTAAAAAGTTCTTTTTTAAATCACCACTGATTCCTATCCAAAGCTCTCAAAAACAAAACCATCTTTGGAACTTAGTTATGCTATTTCTAATGAACATTCCTTAAGTTATTGAGTGACTGCTATGCACAGAAATACTGCATGCTAGACAGTGAAGACATAGGTAAATTTAAAATTTTAATACCTGCCTTTAAGGAAGTCTAGGAAACATTACATAGCAGTTCTTGTGGTATTCTGTATGGCTTATTTAACATTCTTCATAATTTTACAAAAGTAAACATTAACTTCCCCAAGTGAATTGTCAAAGTAAGTGATAGATCAAAGACTTGAACCTAGCAGCTGGGCTTCAGTGCAAGCACTTATTCCTACTATGCTTTACAAAATAAAACATAAACTACTTTATAACCACATTTTTTAGAATAAAAGTTGATGCAGAGGGAGACACCAAGATGATTAAGATGTTGATACATGGGACAGACAAGTTTTGAGAAGTAAAACTTGAAATGTAACTCTTAGACCATTTCTTCTTAATACCAACCCCACTTAACAGGGATACCTATGGGGAAAAAAGGGATAATGAAAAACTTTAACTTTCTACATATTATCTTTTCAGTGTTTGAATTTTTTTACAGTTATTACTTGACAAGTTAAACTCAAAAGCTTAACCTAAAATGTCTCATTTATAAGTTTAGAACATACTTGGAAATTTGAACTGCCTATTCACTCAAATGTACATTTTCTGCTAAATTTTTCTGCACCTGCTTTGAAGGATTTCCATTCTACACAGAAAAATTGGTATACTGGTGTGCTCCTTAGATTTCACATTCTTCAGTTCTCTTTAGCAGAAACTACTTCCCACCCATGAACTCATAGCAGACAGTTAACTAGCACCTTCAGCCTTATGACAAAGGTACTTCAGAATAGATCAGGTCCAGATATCTAGAAGGAAGCAATCAGTATTGTAGCATGTAAGATAAAGTGTGACCCAAAAGAATGACTTCAGTTGTAATCTATCACAGAGTACATTCTTTTAAGGAAAAGTATATAGTAGAGATAGTATGGGGAGAGTCATGGTTCATATTTTACCTCTTTTCCTCTCTGTTGTTCGCTATTACAGAGGAATGTTCCGAATAAGCAGCTGTATAGGTGATCCAAAATGGTAATGAGAAAATACTCATTGAATTCAAATGCCGTAGGAAACTGCAAATTGAACATCACAAACATAAATTAAGACATTCTTTAAGCATATTCATTCCTATCATGGGTAGATCCTTTAAGTTAAACATTCAAATTTACATTATTCCAAACCATTATGGCATTATCTATATGGTTTTCTTTTCAAAAACTGCTTTATCACTTTTCTGACCATGTTTCTGTATATGCTGTATCTGCTAACCCTACACTTGCAGGCTGAATTTTGACTTAGGCAATTCTAGGCATTCTCTACCAAAAATGACCACAGATATTAAGACTCTCTAAATTTTCAACAACATAGTTTTCTTTTTTAAGGATTTTAAAAAAAATGCCAATAATGTTCTCCAGAAAATGTCAGCAATACCCTAAAGTAAACATTTAAGGCAGAAAATTTACAAGTCAACCAGCCTATTACCTATTTAGGTTGGTGCAAAAGTAATTGCAGCTTTTGCCACTGAAAGGGCAATTACTTTTACACTGACCTAAAGTTTTCAGGGACCATCCATCCCATCAAACCAGAGTTCCTTGTAAGCTATTTTGGCTGCATCTAACAAAAAGAAAATTCACTCTCTAACCCAAGCCAGGGACTTGACTGGATGTTAGTTTTACACAGTAACACAATTTTAGGGGAGTAATCAAATGAAAAATTATAAACCTCCGAAAGTCAGAAGGTTTAGTTTAATCCATCTTATCTAATATTTCAGAATTATTTGGAATCTTCCATGTAAGATTCTACCAATTATAGGGCTGTGTGTGATAAATTCTATAAATACTTGGATTGCAGACTGTGAAAATACACATTGCTTCCAAATTTTTATTTCTTAGAAAGATCCTTTATAGTGGAAGAAAATAGTATAAACAGCATGTAAATGGAATAAGGATGAAAACAACTTTGCCTTGAAGTTTCCTAAAATTTAGCAAGTACACACAGGGTAACATGACATTTCTTAAACAAGAAAGGGCACTTAACTAGGCCTTGAATAATTTTTGTGGCTGTGAAGCTGAATGAAACATGATCAAGCAGAAGATGATCAAGCATTGCCACAACAAAAAGCCAATTGTAAGAAACTTTGTCAAATCCCATTTACTTCTTTAAAAAATAAGTCCCATCTCCTGTATTTGTTCACACTGTTAACAGCCTTATTATTAGCCAAATATGAATGCATCCTGAATCATTAAATAGCAATCTCAAGGATCTAAGCCTGTGATTAATTTTTCATCTTCTTGGCAAAACTGTTAGCTCAGTTATGAGAAAACAGCTTAATCAGTAGGCATTTCCTCACAAAGAAACTAAAATAGCAAGGCATTAACTGCAGCTATTGCTTTTAAAATTATAAGCAGAAGAGAACTATTTTGTTTACATGCTTAAAATCTAAAAGGCCCTTCAACAACTGCTTCCTGATTTCAGGACTGAGGTGACAGAGATGAGGGCGGAAATAGGAAGAGAGGTGTGGAATCTGGCTATCATAATTGGTTCTGTTTTGACAAATGTGCTATTCAAGTCTCTGTACTAGTATTCAAGTATTTATAAAACTGATGATTGCTAACACATTATGACTAATATGCTTTATGTTTGGGAAGAAAATATACAGAAAAACATAGGTGTATAAAATACAGATGGCTATAAAGTATTTTAGGTTCTATCAAAAATACAGATTTAAACTGATTTTCTTTGATTTAGTGCCAGGCTCAAAATTAGAGTAAAACTGCTTTTAGATAGAGAGCATATAAAAAGTTAACAAAATTAAAATTACTAAGGAAGAAATGTATTAGGATGTATTCTCCCATCCAAGTGTTAACAAGGCCCAACCTTGCTTTGCTTCCAAAATCAGATGAGATTCAGGTGGTTGGCTGTAGATTATTATATACTCTTCTTTGCAAGAGTAAACCGGTAACTAGTAAATGTGTTTTTTTTCCTAACATGTCAGAACTAATATATTCAAGCACATTATTTCCTTCAAGGTACTCACCTTGGAAAGCAGTACACACAACCATCAACAAAATACCAGGTTTCAAAGAGCTTTCCTACTCCTTTGATGGCGAATTTAAATTTTGCCAATAGTCAAAGGTTATTTAAAACTGAATATGGGGGGCTGCGAGGAACGAACTCGGCTGTGAGGACATCCTGTGTGGAGCAAGCACTTGGATTCAGCTCCTTCAGTTCCAACATGGAAGAAACTTACACTGACTCCCTGGACCCTGAGAAGCTATTGCAATGCCCCTATGATAAAAACCATCAAATCAGAGCTTGCAGGTTTCCTTATCATCTTATCAAGTGCAGAAAGAATCATCCTGATGTTGCAAGCAAATTGGCTACTTGTCCCTTCAATGCTCGCCACCAGGTTCCTCGAGCTGAAATTAGTCATCATATCTCAAGCTGTGATGACAGAAGTTGTATTGAACAAGATGTTGTCAACCAAACCAGGAGCCTTAGACAAGAGACTCTGGCTGAGAGCACATGGTAGTGCCCTCCTTGCGATGAAGACTGGGATAAAAATTTGCAGGAACAGACCAGTACCCCATTTGTCTGGGACACAACTCACTACTGTGACAACAACAGCCCTGCAAACAACATAGTTATGGAACATAAGAATAACCTGGCTTCAGGCATGCGAGTTCCCAAATATCTGCCGTATGTTCTGCCATGGAAAAACAATGGAAATGCACAGTAACTGAATACCTATCTCATCAAATGCCAGACCTTAGAAGACTCTTGCTTCTTCCTGCTCCAGTGGCTTCTTCATTTTCCTCCATCTAATTATAGAATGATAAACTCTCTGTGACTTTCTAAACTGACAAGTACAGTTTTTTCATCCCCCTCTTGAATCCTCATTTGATACAAGAACCCTCATACTCAGAAGCTTTCAAATAAACGTGTGATATAGATTAAAAAAAAAAAACTGAATATGGTAATAGTCAAAAGTGGGGTCCTAGGGTTTTGGGTCATATATTCAAAAAAGGATTGGTAGAGACTTACATGTTGAAATACTATCTAAAAGGCAATTCCAAAGGAAAAAGTCAAACATAATACACGAAAGTATTATTAAACATTGTTAAACTAAGTATATAGCACCTTTCCTTCCTCCTACTGCACAACACACCAAAGGTCTGATTTATAAAACAAAACTGAATTGTATGCACCTTTTCAGTATACATGCTGAAATACTAGTCTCATATTATAGTCATATCTACGAAATGCTTCATTTAACCCAACATGTTTCTAAATAATTCACCCAAGTAGAAATGCTTATGGAGGCAAGGGACTATTAAGTATAGAATTGATGATTATTTCCCCTGATGATTACCATTAATTTTATTTAAATAAATAGCATTTTATTGAAGCTAAAAATACGCTCCTAAATAAATATGATCCAAAGCCAAGTAGAGCCAGCACTTGCTCTACTTTAAATTCATGTGGCAATCTAAGTAAAAACAATTCAGACTTCCAGTTGTTTTGGGGTCTAATAATCCCTTGGATAAATAATGAACTTACTTCCTAATAAGCTACATTCAACTGGGTTTTGAGATCATTCTTCTCCAGTTAGTATTAAATCATATTTTTAAGTCAGTGACCCTTTGCCTCATTAAAAAAGTGGTCCCATGATAAACGAGGTGTTTTTTGTCCCCATTCTTTCCAAAACATTAAATTCATTTATATTAATATTTCAAGTTAATTTTTTAGAAGTTCTAAAAGTCGTAATAGTTCTCTCCATGCTAAAAAAATATTCAAGAACTAAATGTAATATGTGCCTACCTTGTTATACTTTCTATATATTTTTCCCTTAAAAATTTTCAGAAGGAACAGATTGAGATGAAACAAAATAACAGTTAAAGTTACTTAAAAGATTTTGTTTTGCTTGTGTTATCTAGCTTATTTTTCTCCACTCTCAGCAATACAAAAATGGCTTCTAGGAAACTTCTCAGAAGTTATTATCAATGCTGCTCATTGAAATGCTTATAGAATCAAATTGTCAAGTGTTTAGTAATGCCCCCAAATAACAATCTTTAACCTGACTCATAAGATAACAATAAATAATAGCTCTCACATGGACATGGAGACTTTAGAAGAATTTCCGTTTAATGATCTATAGGATAATCAGTGACCAAATCTCCCAACTCTGACAGGGAAATTGAAAGGAGATGTGTAAGAATAGATAGCCCAGATAAGTTACCTGTCTTGTCATCTGCCAGACACAGTCAATAAATTGAAGAAAAACTGGTGATCTGTCTGCATCTGCATGGTTCTTATCTCCATGGCCAACTCTCTGAAGCAAAAAGGTGAAATATATGAACTTAGGGGGATTTTTCATTTTTTGATGGAAATAGTTTTTTTAAAAAATTACAGTTGGTCAGTATTCTAAAAATTTTCAAAGTAGGGTGCTGTGGTTCGCACCTGTAATCCCAACACTTTGAGAGGCTACAGTGGAAGGATCACTTGAAGCCAAGAAATCGAGATGGGTCTGGGCAATATAGCAAGACCCCATCTCTACAAAACATTTTTAAAAACTAGGCTTGGTGGCGTGCGTCTGTAGTCCTAGCTATTCAGAAGGCTAAGGTGGGAGGCTGGCTTGAGCCCAAAAGTACAAGGCTACAGTGCACTCCAGCCTAGGTAACAAAGCAAGGCCCTGTCTAATACACATAAAAGTTTTCAGAAAGTCTTAAAGAGCATTGAAAAAGAAGTAGAAATCTGTTAACATTTTTGACATGCATACTGCTCAGATATTCTCTACCTGAGTGCTTATAATAGGAATTATTACTCTGTTTAATAAATGAAACCCAGATCCTAAAAGGTTGATAATGAAAGACAGAAGCAGTCAGAACTCAAAGGTCAGCTTTTTGTCCTGGAGATTTTAATTTCTCTCTGAGAAGTAACAGTTCCATGGACACTGGACTCAGCACCATTCTCTCTGTGTTAATACCTTGACCAGTGAGTGAAGGGTACCCCATCCTGTCTTAGCACTAATGTGTCTTCATCAGGAGGAACCATATTAGCACACATCTTAGAAAACCTGTTAAAAATGCTTGACATCAACCCTCCAAGCAGGCAGTCATCTACCTAGTTTATCAGTTAATTTCCTCTCTTGACCTTTGACTCAGATAACTGAAACAGAATCCTGCTCCTTAACCCAAAGCAGGAATTCTAAAAGTGTCACAGGTCCACAAACATTCAAGGGCTGTGAGGTCAGAACTATTTCCATAATAATAAGACATTATTTACCTTTTTCAGTGTGTTCGCATTTGCACGAATGATGCAGAAATTATGAAAGTTAAAAATTCTGGTGCCTTAGCAGGCATCAAGCAAGGCAATGCTTATTATTAAAACTGTAGTCGGCAGGTGCAGTGGCTTATGCCTGTAATCACCACACTTTGGGAGACCAAGGTGGCTGGAACACAAGGTCAGGAGTTCGAGACCATCCTGGCTAACACAGTGAAACCCCATCTCTACTAAAAATACAAAAAATTAGCCGGGTGTGGTGGCACACACCTGTAGTCCCAGCTACTCAGGAGGCTGAGGCAGGAGAATTGCTTGAACCTGGGAGGTGGAGCCTGTACTGAGCCAAGATCGTGCCACTGCACTCCAGCCTGGGCAACAGAATGAGACTCCTGTCTCAAAAAAAGAAAAAACCTGCACTTGTAGCCACTGTATTCTACCCTACCAGATCCTCACAGTTAAATAAAGGAAAAAAGGCAATTTATCTTTTGCTAGTATACTTAAGGCAGTAAAAATTGCTAGTTTTATTAAATCTCATCCCTTGAGTACACTTTTTTTAATTGCCTGTGTGACGAAACAGGAAATATATATAATTCACTTCTGCTGCATGTAGTGTGGTAGAAGACAGCACTTTTTCATCATTTTTACTTGAAAGACAAATTATTAATACATGCCCTGTGGTAAGACTTAGACTTTTTTTTTTAAATGTACAATGTGAATTACCACTTGAAAACAACTGACAGTATTTGTTGTCAATGAAGAAATTCAAGCTTTTGAATGAAAACTCAATGTTTAGAAAATTTTTGCCCACCACAATAAGCTTAAAAATACTTGAAGGCTTTTCTGACAAAATCAATGGTGATATTAACAAGTATGATTTAGAACTTTATTCTCTGAAGTAAGAGTTTGTTTTAAATGTCCTTTTCATGATAAGTACATTTTGTAGAGAACTGCAAAATGTGAGCCATCTGAATAAACACCCCAGATGCCCAATTTTATTTAACAGTTCAAGTTGAAAAGAGCAGACTAACTTTAAATGTCTGTTCCTTTCAAGTTAAAGCTGACTCTTGAACAACATGGTTTGAACTGCATAGGTCCACTTATATGCAGATTTGTTTCAGCCACATGTAGGATGCGGAACCCACATACACAGAGGGCTGACTTTACATGGTCCCTCAGAGCCAACTTCAAAACTTGAGTATGTGTGAATTTTGGCCTGTTCATGGGGTCTGGGAACCAATCCCCCACATACACCAAGGGACAACTGTGTAAACACTGCTAGTATACTCTGGTAACTACTGTATATTAAAGGTTAACATTACAGACAGCATCTGGGTAAATACCTTCTAAAAGTCTTTCAATTATTCAGGAAAATACCTGGCCAGAAACACCCATGGTCATCACTGACGTTTCCCAATAGAGATCACAGGAAAGACTTGTTCAGACGCCTGGCAGATAGCCAGCTCTGGCTCCAGACTAGTCATGTTAGGATATCCTAATGCTTTCCAAAACAAGCAAAAATGTTTACCCTGCTAGATAAATGATCAACTTTAGATGAAGATCTCATTTTTAAAATGCATTATTTTCACATGCCTTGGTATGAGATACATGTAATACATTAAAAGTCAAGGTTCTTCACTTACTAGTTGAAATCGATGTCCAAAACTTAGCCATTCTTTTTCTACAAGGACTTCAAATCCTCGGATGGTTCGATAGTATCCATCCAACATGAGCATGGCAAGGGCAGTGAGCTGAGCTGTGCGATCCCAGCCATCACTGCAGTGCACTACCACGGACGTCTTCCCTGACTCTACTTTGTCAGCAATCCTAAGAGCCCCTGCAAGAATAAGCTGGAAAATAGATTTTTTAATAAACTGGTTTTTAAAGTTAAATACTTCCTTCTTCAAAATTTACTAATACAGTTTTATGAGGGATTACTATTTCAGTAACATGAGGGAAACATTTGTCCCTTCCTAAGAATTTTTTTAAGTGGTAGAAGATATATAAATTTTGCTTTTAAAACTAAAAAAAACCTCATAATTGCTGACTCCTATTAATTTGCCTAATGAAATAGCCAAATGAAAAGTACCTTTGGGTGCTAAATAAATCATGGTGTAAGATTCTTCTTAGAAGAGTAGAGATCTGTTTCTAAGAATCATCAAATATTCCATAATCTATTTAAATAAAAATAAATGATATGGCAACTGAAGCCTTTTTATGATTTAAAACAATGCTTAACCAAATTGGGATAAGTATCTGAAAGCTGTAATACTGGATCTCTTTTAAAATATTCAGTAGCATTTATTGTATTGTTTTGACTGAAGATTTTTGTCACAGAGCATAAAGCAAGCACAGTATAAACTTTAGAGTGAGCTACTTATCTGTAACGCTATGCATGAAAATTCACAGATTAATGCCAATCTATTATTTAAAATAACTTCAGCTCTTATTTTTTTAAATATGCAGAAATCCTTCGCAAAAGAACTTACCTTTTCTGAAATCCATTTTGAGTTAAAACTAAACAGAATTAGATATAACCAAAACACACACACAAAAGTATGGTATCTTAAAAAAAAAAAAAGAAAAAAAAAAGGACAATATAGCCCTATTCTTCTCTGCAATGGCCATATCATATAATACTTAAAAAGCAGCATAGTTCTACATACATGGATGAGAATGAAAGAAAACAGATTAAACTTGGAAATATGACAATCTCCCCTTGATCATAGTTGTGAGCATATCCTGGAAATGGGGTAATATGATGATCTTGACATGTATCAGAGTCATGTAAGCATGAAGAGTCTAGACCACATTCTCCAATGATTCTAAATTAAGTATTTTAAATAAATTCCACCTATAATTCTAGTACATATACAGAGTTAAGAATCAGCTTAGTTAAGACTGATCATAAAGAGTTTTCCTGATTAGGAATCATTCATTCATTCATTAAACATTTATGGAGTCCCTTACTAGAGAGACACTGCTCTTGGTATGGGCCATATAGCAGTGAACGAAGTACTTGCTTAATCAAATTTATATTCTATTTGGGTGAGGCCCACCAGTCACAAATAAACAAGGAAATACACAGTATATCAGATGGCAATAAGTGAAAACTTTCCATAGAAGTTACACGGAATGCTGGTATAACTGTTATTTTGTAAAAAGTAGCTGAAAAAGGCCTCTCTCAGAAAGGTGATTTGAGCAGAGACTAGAACAGAAAGTGAATAAACTTTCTTGGTATGATAAGGACTGGAGAAGAAGAAAGTAGTTTCACCAAACTGTATGTCTTATACGCCTAGGGAAATTTGATTCTGTTATGGCCAACCCTTTAGAGAGCATGTTGTACCTGCAAATTAAGTATTTGGAGTTTTCAGAATCAAACATAACCATTTATGTTAGTTCCAAATCAAGTCTGAGGCTGTATATTTACATATCACATAATTTAATAAATGGGCCACATGAACATTTATTAATTTAATAAATGGGCCATTAACTAGTGTTTATACTTTGCGATTTTCAAGCTTCTAAGCGTCTCAAAGGGAATCAATAGTCAAAATCATCTAATTAAAATTCTTATTAGTTCAGTTTGGTTTTCTCTTCAATTCTGTCTAAACTTTAGAGATTTTAATGTGAGTAGAAATCTCCTCCTCCTTAACATGAAAGATTGTATTTCCCATTTACTCATAATACTTATATATGTGGTTACATAAGTATATATATTTGGTGAGTTACGTTACTGACAGACCGTATCTGAAAATATGATAACTATGTTAACAGAAATAACAGTTTGGTGCTTCAAACATTAAATGAGCATGTTAGGTAAATTAGCACTAACATGTGCTCTCCACAAGATTTAGCACTCAGTGTGGCTCATGCAACTACTCTACCTCATTTCCCTGATCAGAATGGTTTCAACTTCACAAATCATGCAACTAGTATTTATTGGGTACCGATTCACACAGTACCCTAGCCCCTCTCAGGACAAAATATATATATAGGATTTATCCAGTCTTAGTCTCCATAAAGTACACTGGTTGACACACAAAAGCAAACAAAGTACAGGTTCGTACCTGATTAGATGGAAAGACAGAGTAAAGAATTCAGAGAAAATGGAAAAGGATGCAATCTGGGAAGACTACATAGAAGAAATGAAATAGAATCTGAAGGATGGTTAGAATTCAGATAGGATGGGAAAAAGGGAACAAAAGAAGTACAATAGAACCAAATGCACAATATAAAAAACTAATTCATTCAAACATCAAAATCAGGGGAGGACTCAAGATGGCGCTGTGAGAACAACCCAGGATTGAAGCTCTCCCTGGACGCACGGAGAGGGTGAGTCGGGGAAGCATTTCCAGACGGATCTTAGTTGCCCACAGAACGGGAAAATTCCCAGGTATAAAAGAGACGCGGGACGCCAGGCAGAGTTCTCCGCTGGTGTAGCCAGCAGCTGGTGCAGCTCCAGCCCCCGCCAGAGCGCAGAGGCGCTCCACAGCGCTCCATACAAAAGCGCACTGTTACGGGTGCCCTGTTGAACCAGCAAACTAAGACCCGAGAGGGCTGAACTTGAGACTGAACGGGTCTTGAACTGTGACCCAGCCCAGGAAATCCCAGGGACTCAGCGTTTGGGGGAGCACAGTGCGACAAACAAAACGGCGATTCCAAACGCTCCTGGTGAATAGGATTTTTTTTTAAAGTGCAGCTCCGCGGGGGAGGGGCGTCAGCCATTACCGAGGCAATCAGCCCCTACTGAGGTACACGCCCATTGCTGACGCAGCCTGCCGCTGCCGAGGCAACCCGGTACAACAGAGAGACTCCGCAGGGCGTAGCCAGAGGCAACAGGGTGGAGACCACAGCAGAAGGGCGGAGCCTGCAGGAAAAGGGCGAACCTCACACCAGCAGGGCGGAGCCTCGGCAGGCAAAAAGTGACTAGACTGCCTCCTAGATGGGCAGGACAGTGAGGCGGACACTCACAAGGAAAGCCCCAACCCCCCCCCAGACAGAGCATCTGAGGAAAAAAAAGGGTTTTTCTTACGAGTTAGGTTGCAGCAGAACTAAACATAGCAGCCTAGCAGCACTGAATGAACAACAGAGCTCACAGCTCAGCACTTGAGCTCATACAGACTGTCTCCTCAAGCAACTCCCTGACCCCTCTATATCCATAAGACTGACATTCGGCAGACATCATCCTGGGACAAAGATAGCAGAAAAAGAAACAGGTAGCAACCCTCACTGTTCTGCAGCCGCTACAGGTGCACCCCAGACAAGCAGGGCCTGGAGTGGACCTCAGCGGTCGTACAGCGAAGGGGCTAGACTGGTAGAAGAAAAACCAAGTAACAGAAATACTCCATCATCAACAATCTGGGTGTCCACTCAGAGATCCAATCAAAAAGTGAGTAACTACACAGACGACAGGTGGATAAATCCACAAAGATGGGAAGAAACCAGCGCAAAAAGGAGGAAAACACCCGAAACCAGAACACCTCGCCACCTAGAAAGGACCAAAACTCCTCACCAGCAAGGGAACAAAGCTGGATGGAGAATGACTGTGACGAAATGACGGAATTAGACTTCAGAAGGTGGATAATGAGAAACTTTTGTGAGCTAAAAGAACATGTTTTAAATCAACGTAAAGAAACTAAGAACCTTGAAAAAAGATTTGAGGAAATGATAACAAGAATGGATACCTTAGAGAGGAATATGAATGAATTAAAGGAGCTGAAAAACACAATACGAGAACTTCACAAAACATGCACAAGTTTCAATAGCCGAATTGACCAAGCAGAAGAAAGAATATCAGAAGTCGAGGATCAACTCAATGAAATAAAACGAGAAACCAAGATCAGAGAAAAAAGCACAAAAAGGAATGAACAAAGTCTCCAAGAAATGCGGGACTATGTGAAGAGACCTAACCTACGTTTGATAGGTGTACCAGAATGTGATGAAGAGAATGAATCCAAGCTGGAAAATACTCTGCAGGACATTATCCAGGAAAATTTCCCCCACCTAGCAAGACAGGCCAACACTCAAATACAGGAAATACAGAGAACACCACAGAGATATTCCACAAGAAGAGCAACCCCAAGGCACATAATCGTCAGATTCAACAAGGTGGAAATAAAGGAGAAAATACTAAGGGCAGCCAAAGAGAAAGGTCGGGTCACCCACAAAGGGAAGCCCATCAGACTCACAGCAGATCTCTCGGCAGAAACTCTACAAGCCAGAAGAGAGTGGGGGCCAATATTCAACATCCTTAAAGAAAAGAACTTTCAACCCAGAATTTCATATCCAGCCAAACTGAGCTTCAGAAGTGAAGGAAAAATAAAATCCTTTGTGAACAAGCAAGCACTCAAAGATTTTGTCACCACCAGCCCTGCTTTACAAGAGCTCCTGAAAGAGGCACTACACATAGAAAGGAACAACCAGTACCAGCCATTCCAAAATCACACTAAATGCTAAAGAGCATTAACATAATGAAGAATCTACAACAACTAACGGGCAAAACAGCCAGCTAGCATCAAAATGGCAGTGTCAAACTCACACATAACAATATTAACCCTAAATGTAAATGGACTAAATGCACCAATCAAAAGACACAGACTGGCAAATTGGATAAAAAGCCAAAACCCAGCAGTGTGCTGTATCCAGGAAACCCATCTCACATGCAAGGATACACAAAGGCTCAAAATAAAGGGATGGAGGAAGATTTACCAAGCAAATAGAGAGCAAAAGAAAGCAGGAGTTGCAATCCTCATCTCTGATAAAATAGACTTTAAAGCAACAAAGATCAAAAGAGACAAAGAAGGCCATTACATAATGGTAAAAGGATTGATAAAACAAGAAGAGCTAACGATCCTAAACATATATGGACCCAATACAGGAGCACCCAGATACATAAGGCAAGTTCTTAACGACTTACAAAGAGACTTAGACTCCCACACAATAATAGTGGGAGACTTTAACACTCCACTGTCAATATTAGACAGATCAACGAGACAGAAAATAAACAAGGATATCCAGGGCTTGAACTCAGACCTGGAGCAAGCAAACCTGATAGACATTTACAGAACTCTCCACCCCAAATCCACAGAATATACATTCTTCTCAGCACCACATCACACCTACTCTAAAATTGACCATATAATTGGAAGTAAAGCACTGCTCAGCAAATGCAAAACAACTGAAATCATAACAAACAGCCTCTCAGACCATAGTAAAATCAAGTTAGAACTCAGAATTCAGAAACCAACCCAGAACCGCACAGCTTCATGGAAACTGAACAACTGGCTCCTGAATGTTGACTGGATAAACAACGAAATGAAGGCAGAAATAAAGAAGTTCTTCGAAACCAATGAGAACGAAGACACAACATGCCAGAATCTCTGGGACACATTTAAAGCAGTCTCTAGAGGAAAGTATATAGCAATAAGTGCCCATATGAGAAGAATGGAGAGATCCAAAACTGACACCCTATCGTCAAAATTGAAAGAGCTAGAGGAGCAAGATCAAAAAAACTCAAAACCCAGCAGAAGACAAGAAATAACTAAGATCAGAGCTGAACTGAAGGAGATTGAGACACGAAAAACCCTCCAAAAAATCAATAAATCCAAGAGCTGGTTTTTTGAAAAGATCAACAAAATAGACAGACCACTAGCCAAATTGATTAAAAAGAAAAGAGAGAACAACCAAATAGATGCAATAAAAAATGATAAAGGGGAAATCACCACAGATTCCACAGAAATTCAAACCACCATCAGAGAATATTACAAACAACTCTATGCGCATAAACTAGTAAACCTGGAAGAAATGGATAAATTCCTGGACTCCTGTGTCCTCCCAAGCCTAAACCAGGAGGAAGCTGAAACTATGAATAGACCAATAACAAGGTCAGAAGTCGAGGCAGCAATTAAGAGCCTACCACACACAAAAAAAACCCAGGTCCAGACGGGTTCACAGCCGAATTCTACCAGACACACAAAGAGGAGCTGGTACCATTTCTTCTGAAACTATTCCAAATAATCCAAAAAGAAGGAATCCTACCCAAATCATTCTACGAGACCAATATCATCCTGATACCAAAACCCGGCAGAGACCCAACAAGAAAAGAAAACTTCCGGCCAATATCCATGATGAACATAGATGCAAAAATCTTCAATAAAATATTGGCAAGCCAATTGCAACAGCAAATCAAAAAACTTATTCATCATGATCAAGTAGGATTCATCCCGGGGATGCAAGGCTGGTTCAACATACGCAAGTCTATCAACATAATTCACCACATAAACAGAACCAAAAACAAAAACCACATGATTATCTCAATTGATGCAGAGAAGGCATTTGACAAAATTCAACAGCCCTTTATGGTAAAAACCCTCAATAAAATCGGTATCGATGGAACGTATCTCAAAGTAATAAAAGCTATTTATGACAAACCAGCAGCCAATATCATACTGAATGGGCAAAAACTGGAAGCATTCCCTTTGAAATCCGGCACTAGACAAGGATGCCCTCTGTCACCACTCCTATTCAATATAGTACTGGAAGTTCTAGCCACAGCAATCAGGCAAGAAAAAGAAATAAAGGGTATTCAAATAGGAAAGGTGGAAGCCAAATTGTCTCTATTTGCAGACGACATGATAATATACCTAGAAGACCCCATCGCCTCAGCCCAAAAACTCCTGAAACTGATAAGCAACTTCAGCAAAGTCTCGGGATATAAAATCAATGTGCAAAAATCACAAGCCTTCCTCTACACCAATAACAGACTTAAAGAAAGCCAAATCAAGAACAAACTGCCATTCGCAATTGCTACAAAAAGAATAAAATACCTTGGAATACAACTCACAAGGAACGTAAGGGACCTCTTCAAGGAGAACTACAAACCACTGCTCAACGAAATCAGAGAGGACACAAACAGATGGAGAAACATTCCATGTTCATGGTTAGGAAGAATTAATATTGTGAAAATAGCTATACTGCCCAAAGTAATTTACAGAATCAACGCTATCCCCATCAAGCTACCATTGACTTTCTTCACAGAACTGGAAAAAACCACCTTGAACTTCATATGGAACCAAAAGAGAGCCCGCATAGCCAAGTCAATTCTAAGCAAAAAGAACACAGTGGGGGGCATCACACTACCGGATTTCAAACTATACTATAAGGCTACAGTAATCAAAACAGCATGGTACTGGTACCAAAACAGAGATATAGATCAATGGAACAGAACAGAGGCATCAGAGGCAACACAACATAGCTACAACCATACAATCTTTGATAAACCTGACAAAAACAAGCAATGGGGAAAGGACTCCCTGTTCAACAAATGGTGTTGGGAAAACTGGCTAGCCATGTGTAGAAAGCAGAAACTGGACCCCTTCCTGACACCTTACACTAAAATTAACTCCAGATGGATTAAAGACTTAAACATAAGACCCGGCACCATAAAAACCCTAGAAGGAAATCTAGGCAAAACCATCCAGGACATAGGAGTAGGCAAGGACTTCATGAACAAAACACCAAAAGCATTGGCAACAAAACCCAAAATAGACAAATGGGACCTAATGAAATTCCACAGCTTCTGCACAGCAAAAGAAACAGTCTCTAGTGTGAATCGGCAACCAACAGAATGGGAAAAAATTTTTGCAGTTTACCCATCTGACAAAGGGCTGATATCCAGAATTTACAAAGAACTCAAATGGATTTACAGGAAAAAAACAAACAAGCCCATTCAAAAGTGGGCAAAGGATATGAACAGACACTTTACGAAAGAAGACATATATGAGGCCAACAATCATATGAAAAAATGCTCATCGTCACTGGTCATCAGAGAGATGCAAATCAAAACCACATTGAGATACCATCTCACGCCAGTTAGAATGGCGATCATTAAAAAATCTGGAGACAACAGATGCTGGAGAGGATGTGGAGAAAAAGGAACACTTTTACACTGTTGGTGGGAGTGTAAATTAGTCCAACCATTGTGGAAGACGGTGTGGCGATTCCTCAAGGCCTTAGAAATAGAAATTCCATTTGACCCAGCAATCCCATTACTGGGTATATATCCAAAGCTATAAATCGTTCTACTACAAGGACACGTGCACACGAATGTTCATTGCAGCACTGTTTACAATAGCAAAGACCTGGAATCAACCCAAATGCCCATCGATGATAAACTGGATTGGGAAAATGTGGCACATATACACCATGGAATATTATGCAGCAATCAGAAATGATGAGTTCGTGTCGTTTATAGGGACATGGATGAATCTGGAGAACATCATGCTCAGCAAACTGACACAAGAACAGAAAATGAAACACCGCATATTCTCACTCATAGGCGGGTGATGAAAAATCAGAACACATGGACACAGAGAGGGGAGTACTAAACACTGGGGTCTATAGGGGGAAAAGGGGAGGGCCAGTGGGAGGGGGAGGTGGGGAGGGATTGCCAGGGGAGAAATACCAAATGTGGGTGAAGGGGAGAAAGCAAACAAAACACACTGCCCTGTGTGTACCTATGCAACTGTATTGCATGCTCTGCACATGTACCCCAAAACCTAAAATGCAATAAAAAAAAACAAACAAACATCAAAATCAGTAGTAGTTCCAATTATCAAAGCATTTACCCATTTTTCATTGTTTAGAAAGGTATCTTCATGTTGATTTCAATTATAAGTAAAAAGCTAATAGAAACAAAAGGGTAGAAAACGTCTTTGATTGGGATATAGTAACACACACATACCTTAATATGTTCTAGCCAATGAGTAGATTCCAAGTTAGACAACCAGTGAGTTTCCTCAATGTTGGGGTACACAATCTCCTTAAGTTTTCGTAATGATTCTCTCATGACATGAATATTGTGGATATCCAAAAAAACTAGTTCAGCATTTTGATAGGCATCTTCACTTTCATAACCTCCACCCTTTGCCTAGAAAAAAGCACACATCATGGAAAATTATAAATGAATGCACATCTGTAAACAAGTGACATAAAATTTCCAATAGCATAAAAGATAATACATATTACTGGAGACCAGGAAAACTCCACAGGAAAATGTGGGTAGTTCAGGACAACTTATTTAGCACAACCACTCGCTACCTCATCTTCTTTACAAAATGAATATACACTTAACTCTGACTTCCTCATGTGGCCATTATTAAAATTAAATGTAAAACACATATGAAGGGATTTAAACATTGTAAAGCACTAAATTTTCCCTGCCTATACTTCAGTCCTACTCAAGCATAATTTCTTACAGAAGACTTCCCTTCGTATTTACTGAAATTACCAGACTATAAGTTTCACGTGCTGGGACCCCATGTCTGGTGTGCCTATGCTTCTTCACCTCCCTGCCTCTTTACCTCATTTTAATCTTCGTATCTGAGAAATACATTATTTGCAATCAAAATGACCTACTTCTTTTTTAACCACTTAATTCTTTTTAAATAAAAAGACAGAACAAGTATAAAAGCACAGAATGCTATCATCATCAATGTCCTCAAAGACTTAAATCTACATCTACAGAAAAAAATGAGGAAATATTTGGTGTTCAAAATAAGCTATGGCTAGAAAGAAGAACCTCATTTTTCTGGACTTAATCTTTTTATATTTCATGAATAAAATATTCTATCTCCAACCTTACTCATGTATAAAATCATACTTCTTAGAACGCTAATAGAAACAAAATAGAAAAATACTGGAACAGCAAATATAATTATATAAAATTAAGTGATCGGCTAGGCGTGGTGGCTCACGCTGGTAATCCCAGCACTTTGGGAGGCTGAGGCGGGCAGGGCACGAGGTCAGGAGATCAAGACCATCCTGGTCATGGTGAAAGTCCATCTCTACTAAAATTAAAAAAAAAAAAATTAGCCTGGCGTGGCAGCATGTGCCTATAGTCCCAGCTACTTAGGAGGCTGAAGCGGGGAATCGCTTGAACCTGGGAGACGGAGGTTGCAGTGAGCCAAGATTGTGCCACTGCATTCCAGCTTGGTGACAGAGCAAGACTCTGCTTCAAAAAATAATTAAGTGATCATATGACCCATATCTTTTAAAACAACAAAACCTATCAACTCATAACCAGCAACAGATTACCAAAAGTACAGCCTCCTTTCTGATACCGAGAGTCTGGGAAATCTTTAGGCACAATAATAGAAATAACAGTGTTTCATTGGACACCTGTTAACAAGGATTACTTCTAAGGAGTGGGAATAAGACAGGTACTTTCAATTCAAATTTGTTGCAACATTCTAGAAAGATAGCAGTGGTAACAACTATACAGAACCTATCACAGAAACACACAGAATGAAAATGCCCTAGAATCAGGTAGCAGTGATAGTTGTATAACTTTGTGAATATACTAAAAGCACTGAAATGTACATTTTAAAAGATGAGCACTTTTCAATAATAGTTCCTGCTGCTGTGGTTACGTAGTTATGTCTTCTCTCTCCTTCCTTCCTTCTATAAATTTTGTCAGCTGAACCAAAATTTCAATTTCCACAATGTTAATATTTATTCTACTGGAACAATCAACTATAGCTAACTGCCAATTCGTCAGTCTAAATAACCTGTTCAGGTGGAGGGCGGTCAGAAGAGGGCACCACTAGTCACTGAGAACACTAGTTCACTATTCCTAGAGCAGTACTATACAGGGACTTCAGTCAGTCATAAGCTCACTTAGTTGTCAAATTTGGAGAAGTGGGAAACTAAGAATAACTGAATACCTAGTTATTATGTAAGTAAGCATGGAGTTATGCATTTTTTATTAAGTGATTTTTGCTCCCAAACAACACTGTTAACTATTATTATTATCATTTTTACCAATAAGCAAATTGAGGTCTAAAAAGGTTAAATAACCTAACTCAAACTCACACTATCAAGTCGCAGAGCCAAGACTAGAACCTACATCTTTACCACTGTAGAGTCTGAGCTCTTTTTACAACACTGTGGCCCTGCCAAACTCAGCTAATCCATGAAAGCATAATTATAATTACTAAAAGACCATCTGACCTTATTGGCCACAGCATTAACACTTGGCCGAGCATCAAATATAAAGATTTTGTGAGACTGGGCATTAGAATCCATGATAGCTTGAAGGTATTTTTCATCTTCTTTGCTTCGCTTTCCACTCACTCCAACCATGGGCTGGCTACACCGAGTGATTGTGGCTTGACTTTCAGGATGAATCCATGATAACACCTTAGTGTGGAAAAAAAATGGTCACATATCTTTTACATACTTCTCTGTTTATAATTCTCAAAAACAGTACTCAATAACGCTCTGTTTTCTAACTGGATCCAAAGCCTGCCCATGAAAGGATATCTGCGGCTGCTAGGAAAAATCATCACCTTTCAAGCCAAGTCTGGCATGTGGAAAACTTGGTCTAAGTCTTTAGTCAGATATTGATTTAGGAAAGTCATTGATTATTGGGAAATGTTATCTCCCGAAAAACATACTTTGAAACAGGGCTAATTAACACCACTTAATAGTAAAACTGCTCAGTTCTAAAAGTCTTTAGAATATATGAATTTTGTACCTAAAATTATTTAAGCTCATCTTTCTAAAATCCAATGATTCATCACAAATTTGTAAGATGTTCTTCTTTCTAGGACTTAAAAATAAAAGAACATTTATCACCATGACTAAAGAATGTACAATAAGATAAAGAAATAGGGACTAACACACAGAGCAAACTTTCTCAGTAAAGAATCATGCAATTCTGTGCATTTATCTAGTACCCATATCACACTCTCCAGAACCTCTTTAAGTCTTTCCTCCAGTTTTAACTTTACTAAATAAATCAATCTCCAATATCCCCATGAAAGACCTGCTGCTGTAGCTATTTGCTATTTGTATCTTGAATCCATTCTCCCACTCATTAATCTCAGCATTGAGTAAAAAAGCACTTGCAAAGGCTCATCAAAACTTCTTACTGGGATACGGCCTCTTGATCTGAAGGATGCTACTCTCTTTAATTCTTCATCAGGAATATTTGCTGGCACAACCAGGAGGGCAGGGTATGTATCACAAAGTTCATATCGTTCATTTATCTTTGTTATTCTCCAGCTTTCATTTGGAATTCCCTACATGTGAAATGAAACATAAGACAAATTATCTAACTAAAATATTAAAAGACACCAGGACAGAAGCCATCCTGTTCATCTCTCTGACCACTACTGTCGATCCCTTAAAGTGTTAGGATAGCTGTTGTCTGCCTGTGGTACCAGGCTTTTAAGATTAGATATTCTAATGTAGGAATATGTATTCATTTGTGGAACTCAATTTGATGTTAATATAACAGACATTAATTCACTAAATTGAGTGTGGGCCTGTGCTAAGCATATTCAGGGAGAGGAAGGAAACAGTTAAGACTGCAAATGTTCCTGTTCTTAAAAGAGAACAAGGTCTCATTCAGTTAGACTGGATGACTGACTTTGTTGCCATTCATCTATACAAAGAAATAGCAGAGGTCAGGCACCAAGTATCCACCAGAGTGGTACATATACAGTTATCACTTACATACCTTAAGTACATTTTTCACTCAGGCATTATATTACTAATGGGATGTTGTTAATCCAGAATATATTAGAAAAGCAAGGTAGCAATGGAAGGCAGAGTGACAGCAGGCAACAGGTAACAGAAATACTTAAAACAACTTTTTAAAAACATATCAACTATTGTGCTCCCATGTGGTCCTTCAATATCTGCTATTTTATAAATAGTATACTACGTCACATATAGGATCACTTAATAAGACAACTGAAATTTTCCATCCTTCACTGTATAGAAAATAAAGCTATTATATTAAATGATTAGACCTAAGAAAATCGATTTTAAATTTTATGATCTCTGAAAATTCTTATCATCAAACAGAAAAAGAACTGAAAGTGAAAAATACCTTTATTGACCATCTACTATATGTAGATACTTTGCCAGCCTCTTTACATCCAAACATACAGATCTGTTTTATTGTACTCAGGTTTCATTAACTTTACTTCATAGATAGAGGAACTATGGCACAGTGTGTAATTTAGCCAAAGCTGCACATTAGGAAGTAGCAGAAAATTCCATGAACATTCCAAATCTATCCTTTTTATATAAAAATACATTATTCCTCAAGAAAAATTTACTATCCTGGTTCACTAAATTGTTGTAAAAATCTCAAAGAGCAGAATATACTCTCCTTTAAAGCAGTATTTCTCAAGCTGTTGCCAAACACCCAAAAGGATGTTAAAATTAAGAAAGAAAATTCCCTTCCAGCAAACACTCTCAATAGTGTTTTCCTTATCCCTAACTGTGTTCTGTGTCTTTATTAGCACCTTACATCCTGTTTACCCCATATAATTAGCTCAGTCCCAATTTGCTTCCTATGGTCTACATCTCTCCCTCCCTCCTGCTTTCCTCAACCTCAGATATTCTGGACAACCGTAAGATGAAAGTTAAACCCTGCGTCAGGCCACTCATCTTTATACAGATTTTTACCCATGACTCGATTTTTCTTTTTTTCTTATTTCCACAAGTAAAAGGCTTAATTAGAGGTTTTAAAAACTATATTCACAAGCTGGCCGGGTGCGGTGGCTCACACCTGTAATCTCAGCACTTTGGGAGGCTGAGGCAGGCGGGTCACTAGAGATCAAGAGTTCAAGACCAGCCTGGCCAACATGGATGAAACCCCATTTCTACTACATAAAACTTAGCCAGGCATGCTGGCACATGCGTGTAATCCCAGCTAAGGCAGGAGAATTTTTTGAACCCAGGAGGTGAAGGTTGCAATGAGCTAAGATCAAGCCACTGCACTCCAGGCTGGGTGACAGAGCAAGACTCCATCTTAAAAATATATATATGTGTGTGTGTGTGTGTGTGTGTGTGTGTGTATTTGTGCATATAAAATAACTTAAAAATATATATATGTATATAGCATGTGAAATATATATATTACATACATTATATATTATAGACATTATGTATATATACATTATATATTATATGTATATAATTGTATGTATATAATTAATGTATACATAGGTATGTATACATTATATATTATATATATTATATATTATATATATATATTTCACATGCTATCATAAAACGTACAAGTAAAATAACTTGAATTGGGAAGTTTAAAGAGATGATACTCAAGCAAGAAACCTGGTTATCATCTTTAACGCCTCCTTCTCCCTTATCCTTATATCCAATCAGTGACCAATTTCAATGATTTTTTTCCTCCAGAAATATCAGAAGTTTGCTTACTTTTTTCAATTCTTACCACCACACTTCCCTAATTCAGGGCATGATAACTTTTCTCCTGTCCATCTACAATCCATTCTCTACACTGCCTCCACAGTAATCTTTTAAGATGCAACAAAAGGGATCATGTCATTCCTCTGCTTAAAATCAATGATTATCGATTGCTCTTTATATAAAGTATGAAGTCCTCTTACCAGACTTAGCAAAGCCCTCTAAAATCCTGCTTTCTCCAGATCTCTCCCTTGCCACCGTATGCTCTGGTCTAGTCTATATCAAACTTCTTTTAGCTCCCAAATGGCTTCACGTTTTCTCCCTACAGTATTTACTAGTATTTAGTAGGTATTACATGTATTTAATAAATGCATGAACGAATACAACACTGAGCCATATGAAGTTTCCGTAAGAAGCAAAATTAGTTTCCGAAGTTTTCTTAGAAAACATGCAGTCAGAGCAGAGAGGGTCAGATCACTTGAGAAGCATACATCTGAGAGCCTGATGTACTATCCCCCAACCCAGAAAGGTACTCCCATCTCTCTCCCACCCCACTTCCCATATCCTTGAAAAATCACTACCAAGAGTACCACGGTTCCCATGGGGAATGTCACATTCTTCAGGTAAGTAGTGGGGTGGTAAAAGAACAACTGGCTTAATGGCTACTGTCCTTCTCATTCTTAGATAAGTTGACACACCTAAAAGTGCCTTTCATGCAAAAAACTGGACCTGGCTAGCCCTCAGATACTCTCTTTGTAGACAGTACTAAAAATGTACTGACAGTTATTGACCTTTGGTATATATTTTTCTACTCTCCAAGCAAAATCACTGCCCTTCAGTTAATGTGTCCACTTGTCAGATTCAATTTATTATACAACCAAATTGAAAGGATCATGGCTTTCTTAGTTACTTACATTCCAATTCTAAGGATAAATTGTTTCCCTTGACTGAAGTGACTGTTTTCCAAGTTTGTTAAGTAATGCATGTACCTTTTGTTGGGTATTTCTGCAGGAGACCATGTTCATTATCTTTTTTGTTTGTTTCTTGAGATAGGGTCTTTGCACTCTTCACCTAGGCTGGAGTGCTGTCATGCGATCACAGCTCACTGCAGTCTCAACCTCCCACCTTAGCCTCTAGAGTAGCTAGGACTTCAGGCATGCACCACCACACCAGGCTAATTTTTGTATATTTTTGTAGAGATAGGGTTTCACCATGTTGCCCAGGCTGGTGTTGAACTCCTGAACTCAAGCAATCTTCCTACCTTGGTTTCTCAAAGTAAGTGCTGGGATTGTAGCTGTGAACCACTGCACTGGGCTGCTCATTATCTTTATACAGATTTTTACCCATGACTTGATTTTTTTTTTTTTTTTTTTTTTTTTTGAGATAAGGTCTCACTCTGTTGCCCAGGCTGAAGTGCAGTGGCACACTCATGGCTCACTGCAGCTTTGACCTCCAAAGGTCAATCGATCCTCCTGCCTCAACCCCCCGGGGTAGCTGGCATGTGTCACCACACCTGGCTAATTTTTGTATTTTTGGCAGAGATGGGGTTGCATCATGTTGCCCAAGCTTGTCTTGAACTCCTGGGCTCAAGTGGTCCTCCCACCTTGGCCTCCAAAAGTGCTAGGATTAGTGTGAGCCACTGTGCCCAGACTGATGACTTGATTTTTCTTGGCCTTATCCTATCCACAAGTTCCATAGTCCTCTCTATAATCACTACATACTGTATATGTCCTTCAAGAGTAAATTAAACATTCTCCTATATGACACACCTAAATGGTTATTAATAGCTTTGCCCATTTTTATTTTATTTACTTATTTTTTGAGACATGGTATCAATCTATTGCCTAAGTTGAGTGCAGCAGCATGTTCATGGCTCACCACAGCCTTGACCTCCCAGGCTCTGGTGGTCCTCCCACCTCAGCCTCCCAAGTAGCTGGGACTATAGGTGCATACCAGACCTGATTAACTTTTATTTTTTGTACAGATGGGGTTTCACTGTGTTGTCCAGGCTGATCTCAAACTCCTGGGCTCAAGCAATCTGCTGGAATTACAGGTGTAAGCCACTGTGCCCAGCCTCTGCCCATTTTTCAAAAGATACAGTCTAATTTTTTTAGCACTATTATACATATATCTATTGAATGAATGTGGCTTACATTTTTTTAGTGGCAGCACATGACAAAGCCAGTCATGATACCTGTTTTCAGAACCTTACAATATAACAAATATAATAATCATGATTTGGATAGATTTTACAGTTTACCAACTAACTTTCTATATGTTATTAATCTTTCAACCATCCCATAAAGTAGTATCTATCACCAAGTAAAAAATAAAGGCTTTGTGACATTAATAACTAATTGAAGAGCCTACATCAAAGTGTGAGAGTAAGAACTACAGCTAAAATTTAAAACTAAGCCTTCTAAAAATGTCCTAGAATTAGAATGTAATGGTAATTCCAAAATTTCATGAATATGTTAAAAAGCAGACTGTATACTTTAAAATAGTAAATGTTATGATATGTGAGTTATATCTCAATTTTAAAAAATAGGAAGATCTGTATGTTTAGAGATGGTACAAAAACCAAAGTATATTAATGAAAATAGAAAGGCACGGAAGAGTGTACATGGCATTCTACCATATGCTTAAAAAAACAATATACACTTAGGCCAGGCACAGTGGCTCACGCCTGTAATTCCAGCACTTTGAGAGGCCAAGGCGGGCAGATTATGAGGTCAGAAGTTCGAGACCAGTCTAGTCAACATAGTGAAACCTATCTCTATTTAAAATACAAAAATGTAGCCAGGTGTGGTGGTGTGTGTTGGTAATCCCAGCTAATCAGAAGGCTCAGGCAGGAGAATCGTGAACCCAGGAGGCAGAGGTTGCAGTGAGTAGCGATCACGTCATTGCACTCCAGCCCAGGCAACAATGTGAGACTCCATCTCAAAAAATAAAAATAAAAGTGGCCTGTTAGCACAGTAAAGCATAAGGCCTGCAACTGCAACGTTGCTGATTCAAATCCTCAGTGGAGCCAGTCTTAAATTTAAAAAAATAAAAAATAAACAATATACACACATACATACACAAGCTTTGTAGACATGAAACCTCTGAAAAAATACTCAGGAAACCAATAATATCATTTCCTAAAGGGAGGGGAACTGGGATGGCTGGAGGGGACACAGCGTTGTCCTGGAAGGAAAACCTACCTGTCAGTATGCCCCGTGGAACTTTCTGAATTTTGTACAGAATGCAAATATTACCACTTCCTTTTTTGTTTTAAGGGAGAAAATGAATACTTTTTTTTAAAGGAGGAAAATGAATACTTTGATACTTTATCATTAGTCCTTAATTTTAAAAGATCATCTTCATTTTCTTCTGTAATAAACTTAAAATATATCCAAGAAAAAAATCTTAAAACTATTGCTTCTAACTACAAATACAGTGTCCTCTCCATTAGACCTTTTATTTGACTCAGAGACAGTTTCTCACTGTGCAAAAAAAAAAAAGAAGCCAACAAATTCCTTGTTTACGGTCAAAGACCGTAAAGCATCCATATACCATTTAATGTAGAAGCCAATGCTCTATTCTTACTGCCACAGTTCCTAATCTCATAATTCTCTTTCTGTATGGGTATATTGTTCAGCTACAGTTATTTTTTCTTTTCAATAATAATTTATTTCTTTTCTTTAGACAGAGTTACCTCATCTGCTTTCCAAAGTTCTATACTGAACGCTCCTGGGACAGCAATTTCTTCCCAGATTCCCAAAGAGTAGTCCTCATTTTTATAATTTCTGAAGATGCCTGCTAGACTTTTTGGTTGCTTAGTCATCTTCTGACATTAGATTTTTGAATTACCACAAATCTAACATGTTTCTTATATACTCTTTTTATCAACTATGGCTTTTAGTTGATTCCCATTTGTTTTGTATTTTATTTCCTATTTTGCCAATTAACAGTATAACTGAATGAGGAAATTCCAACTTCACTTTCCACATGTGAGTGTAGTAACAAACCCCACTTTAAGTCATTTAGGTATCCTTAGCTCTCTGGTGGTGGTTCTTTACTCTACCTGGCTTTGTGAAACAAAACCACAATAAATTAGAAATGTTAAAATTAAAATGCTATGTTTGAAATCTAAATATAAATGTACAAGCTCAAGAATTTTCATATGTTAATTCTATACTCTAGATGACAAATCTAATGATTACCAAGAAATAATCGATATGTCTTAAATTCTCAAGAAAGCACATTGGACAGGAGGAAAGTTAAAAATAAAAGACTATTTTAGGCGGAGCTTAAGTAATACAGTACAGAAACTCTTGAGAAGTGGTACACTGAAGGAAGAATGGGAAGAATGATACACTAAAACACGGATTTCAAGATTGAATTCTGCTTTCATCTCTTGATGTGGTGAATTACTGTGGTGTGAGATATACTGGTTTTCATACACAGTTCCACCCAGCTTTCTTTGTAATGAAAAGGATACAGAATACTAAAAATGAAAGAAAAGAAAGTACATACCTGCCTTCTATACTCTAAAAGAGGGTCATATAGCTTCCACCCATTTTCAGGGAATACTTCTTTATATTCAAAAGCAAAAAGAGGCTACAAAAAAGTAAACAAAGGTAAGAGCTAAAAAAGATACTCACAAAGGTAATGAATCAGAAATGTATCCATATATCTAAAGTTTTCATTTATTTAGATGCAAAAATAGTTTGTATTAACATCATTTTTTGTATTATAGTTTTTGTTTTATAATTTTGAAATTTTATTTTTTTAGGTATTTTTCAAGCATACAAAAAAGCACAGACACTTGCCAACAAAACTTCTCAAATATTAACATATCATTATATTTCCTTCATATTATCTTTGGTAGCTTTTATAGGTTTACTTTCAAATAAAGAAAGAAATTACATTTAAAAACAACTATGATGCCAAAAAAAAAAAATTGAACATGAGACCAACATTGATTCCCAGTTGTATTCCTACTAACTGTGCCCTTGAGATAACTGCTTCTCTGATGCTTCTTTCATTGCTAAAACAGGGATAAATAATATCCATCATCATAGGCTACATAGAAGTGAAGTGACATAAACATGGAAGTCTAACACTATTGATAGCACATAATGGGAACTCAGGGTTTGCCTACTCTTACCTCCCAAATTGCTAGTCTTAACTGGCTCCCAATTAAAAAGGAGATTTCAAATCCTAATGAAGACAACAGATAGCTTTTCATCATGGAAACGCCCTGAATAGCAAGATCATATAATTATAAATGTTAGTGCTGGAATGGACCTCAGAAAATCAGCTAGTCCGGCTTCCTTATTTCACACCTTAAGAAATTGATCTAGGAGACTAGGTTACATCCACACTATACACCTGATTAACTATAAAAGCAAGGATGTAAATGTGGAGATTCTAGATAGCCTAGACAACTTTCTTTATACTACATCAATAATTATAGCACAAATTTTCCAAAAGCAGGAAATATTTTACCAGGTTATTAGAGACAGGAAATGCATATTTCATTAGATTCTCAAATATGGATCTTCTTGTCCGCCCCTCAGGTTTATGAGCAAATCGTAAATTCCTAATATCCTAGAAAAGATTTAGAATCCAAGTTAATAATTGTTTGTTCACCACCTACTTAAATGAATAAACAAGGTTCCTTGGAACTATCTTGTAAAATGTTAGGATCTGTGAATATGGGATATGAAAATAAATCAGACAACAGCTCCTGGATGCAGGGAAATTATGATGGTTTATTGGGAATAATTGAAAGAAACACAAGGTACTCGACTACAAAGAAGAATTTAGAAGGCAGGAAATTTACCTATGTTTATGGACTCAAAATAGGCCAGTGAAAAGGTAGTATTTGATGTAGGCACTGGAGATTAAAAAATTACATCTGAAGATTAATATCATGACTGATAGACACTATCAGCATATGTTTTCCCTGTGAAAGCCCATTTTCTGTCATAAATTTCCTTATTAATAAAACCTGATTAGTAGTTGTTACATTTCATGTGTGTCTTCATTTCCATTATATCTGGTGATTATTTTCCTACTATCCCTTCCCAGGGTTCATTTGCATTGTACCTTCTCTTCCTAAGTCCCCTGCTACTAGACTTAATAGAACTAAACCCTGCCTAAAGGTCTTCCTTCCTTTACTCCATAACCACATTCTTCCACCATCTACTGATAATCATAAACTCTGAATGGTTTGCTTTATATTATCCAGGCTTTTACAGTCAGGTCTAAAGACCAAGGTTCCCTTCCATTTGTCCCTAAGCAATTGTCTATGCTCAGGCTGAATGCAAATATTTATGTTCTGATTTACTGGTATCCTAATAGCATTCAGAAAAAAACTGGGGATTAAGATAATTTTAAGGGTCAGGCATAGTGGCTCATGCCTGTAATTCGACACTTTGGGTGGCCAAGGCAGGAGTGACACTTGAGGCGTTTCTACTTCTAAAACAGTGGTGGGGAAAAACTGATATTGCAGACTTTTCCTATGTTCTTATCTACTAGTATTCTTTAAATGCATTGATAACTTGAATGAAACCTAAATTGTTACAAATTCAAGACCAGCCTGGGCAATATAGCAAGAGCTTGTCTCTAGAAAAAATTTAAGAAATAAATTTATAAGAAAATAATAATTTTAAGACTGTTCATTTTATTTAAATGTTTTAACCTAGGCAGAATTCAAAATAGCTTTATTATGCCTCATTTTGTAGAACTGCACACAAAGCCACTCCACTATGATGTACCCACAATATATAAGTAAAACAGTATATTATAAATCTGATCCAAAACTATAATGCTAGTTTTACTATCTTTTAAAATAAACATGTGCAGGAACCTAACTTGATATCTCTTGTTTTCCCTCAGTAAATATCTTTATAACTAGGAGACACTCAGAATCATTCTGTTAACCACAGAGTTCTCTGAGAGGACCACGTCAGGGGCCTTACAAATATTTGTGTTTATTGATAATGATCCTGTTCCCTGTAAAAAAAGTATTTAAAATAAATAAGATTCAAAATTATCTTTTTACATCCTCTTACAGTCTATGTGCTACTTACTATTAGACTATAGAAAAGTAATCAAGAAACAGTGTGCTTGACCCATGGTTGACAGTGATTACACTCACAGAGCCCTTCTAACAGTAATGGAAAACCACAGGCCAGGCACAGTGGCTCATGCCTGTAATCCCAGCACTTTGAGAGGCTGAAGTGGGTAGATCACTTGAGGCCAGGAGCTCTAGACCAGTCTGGCCAATGTGGTAAAACCCAATCTCTACCAAAAATACAAAAATTAGCCAGACATGGTAGCATGTGCCTGTAATCCCAGCTACTCAAGAGTCTGAGTCTGAGGTAGGAGAATCACCTGAACCCAGGAGGCAGAGGTTGCAGTTAGCTGAGATCATACCACTGCACTCAGCCTGGGCAACAGAGTCAGAAAGAAAAGAGAAAAAGGAAGAGGAAAAGGAAAGGAAAGAGGAAACTACAAAAATAATTACTAAGTCATTACCTTTAATACCAGAGTCACAAAACTTCTAAGATTACCATAAGAAAGTATCTTGAATTATACACATGCTATTTCTTTCAGCACTGTCAGAAAAGCAAAAGAAAGTAACAAGGCGATATAGAATAGGCCTTAATAACAGTGACCTGGAGAAGTGGTAAATATCTATAACTTAATGGTAAAAATGTAACAATCTATGTTTCATTCTAGTATCAATGCATTTAAAGAATGCCAATAGATAAGAACATAGAAAAACTCTACAGTATCAATTTTTCCCCACCATTGTTTTAGAAGTAGAAAAATTATGAGAACTAGAAATAGAAAAGATAGGTAATGATGACTATATCATATTTAGTTTTCCACTACAAAGTAGCAGAATTTCTCAGAGCCTTATGCTGCTAATTTGTAAATTAAAAGTAATAATGTCTATTGTGCTTATCTCATAGGATTTTTATAAGGCTCAAAGTGAAATAACGAAAGAGGAAGTATTTGGTATCCTGTAAGTATTATGTGCATTAAAGATAGTCATTAGTATTAATATTATTATTTTTTAACACAGAGCCTTGCTCTGTTGCCTAGGATGGAGTGCAGTGGCACCATCTTGGCTCACTACAACCTCCATCCCCCAGGTTAAAGCAATTCTCCTGCCTCAGCCTCCCCAGTAACTGAGATTACAGGTGCCTGCCACCATGCCTGGCTAATTTTTATATTTTTTAGTAGAGTTGGCTTTTCATTATGTTGGCCAGACTAGTCTTAAACGCTTGACTTCAAGTGATCTGCCCATCTCAGTCTCCAAAAGTGCTAGGATTACAGGCATGAGTCACTGTGTCTGGCCAAGATGGTCATTACTAAAAAATGTTAGGAAATTTGTGAATATATTAAAATATGTAGACTGAACTGGGCCCAAAAGAATTAAGTCTAATTCATGAATCACCTTTTCTGTTACTGCTAAATTTTGTTTTCTTCTGTCAATGTCATGCTAGAATAAAATTTCTAATTGGAAATCCATTTCATATTTTGGAAAGCAATTTCAAAACAGGCGTTTTATTTAATACAAAGCTTTTCAAACCAAAGAAAATCACATACATAACATTTACCTTACACACAGTTTCTAGTCCATAAGAATTTTCACCTCGACTAGAAGCACCACCAATTTTTTCTACTCTACTTATCACACCAAGAGAAGCATCTAAAACAAATGGAGGATCCTAAAGAAAGGAAGAAAAAATAATTAACACTGAGCAATTAATACTGTATAATTATATAGCTGATCAAAATCTGAATTAGAAATGATCAGAAATTAACAAAACTAGCTGTAAACAGCACACTTATGTACACACAAAAATCTAATCCAAGTCTTACCCGTTCCATGCTCTTGAAATATAACCTATAATTCGTGACAGTCAGAGTTCCTCGTACAGCACCAGTGAATGGACATATATAAGTTACATCTTTGGCTGAAAAGGCAAGAAGTCCACAGTTTACTATACATTGTGTGCTATTAAAACCTACTACCTTATAAAATTGTTGTGATTCCTAGACTAATTTATGCTGAAAAATCACAGAACCAGTGATTTCCAGAGACCTAAGAACCCTGAAACCCAAGCTTCCATCCCTGCACAAATCTGGGGAAGAAACACATAATTAAATGGGATGGGCTGAAGAGGTGGAGGGACTTCTCATCCCATGAGAGAGAATGTAAGAAAACAAAGGGGCTGCTAGCTTGGCTAGATAAAACAGGTGTTGGTAGCTGCAGCAGATAAAGGTGAAAGTGCTGGCAATGGTGGTATCAACAATATACATGTCAAGGCACAGTCACCATCATGTCATTGCAGTTTCTATGCAGCCTCACCAATCTCCTGATCTTCCTCTGTTGCCCACAGTCCACTTTGTCAACAATCTTCTAAAAATGTAATATCCAAAACGTATGTTACTCCACAAACTCCTGATCTGATTACTTATGGGGAAAATTTTATAGGTGAAATGACACACATTTAAAATATAATTTCTTAGAAAGATAACAGTATAAGAAGAGGATATTATAATGATGACCAACCAATGCCAGACTTTGTAAAGAAATAATCACAAGTAAAGTTTTATTAAATAATAAACGATGAATGTACATGGCATTATGTTTTGTAAAATATGCATTAACTGATTATGCAGGATGACTTAGGACTCAGTATCTCAAAATATTATTTAAAATGCCACAGTTCATTATGTCCAGTACATGGTTTTTATATCTTAAAATATTTATAAATTACTGGCATGTCATTATTATAGCAAATCAGCAGATAAAGGAGTATCTTCATCATTCCAAGGAAGTAAGGAGCAATTCTACGGAGCAACAACTTTCTAAGACCCTTTCAAGGGGCTTCTGGGAAAACTTGGGGCCATGAAACATATTTAATGAGGTATTAAAACCTCCTGACTTTGGTTCTCATTCAACACTTTAAAGGACTGGCTGCTTTGTATGGAATCAGAAATGAGACTGATCTTTTAACAGTCATTTCTAACCTTCAAAATAGTTCCCTTGGGAACAATTTAAGTATAAACTACTTTTTAAAATTATTGTTTCCAATGCATATTTCATTTAGAGGAAAGCTTTTAGAATTAAATGAACCTATCATTATATAAAAATACACAAACTTGCTTTGTACAAATATTTTTTTTCCCTTATGAATTTTTACCTCATGTAGGAAAGCTTTACTCAAGGTTACTAAAGATATTTCTGGATTCCTTCTAGAGTCAGTTTTCTTACTCATGTAAGAAAAATCAGCTTTATTATCCCATATCCCACCACAGGAATGCCATTCTCAGGCCAGGGCTTTTCTGTTAACACCTTCCCCTTTATTCTAAAATCATGAGATAATATACATAAAAGTGCTTCTAAAATTCTAAGTACAATACAAAAATACAAGGGTTTATACCTATGTTACTATTATCATCATTAGTCTTTGCTTTGTTCTGTACCATTTAACATTCCTCAAGAGATCATGAAAATGGAGAAAAGATAAATACAAGGAATCCTGAGAGACTGACTCCTCTAGGTCAGTTACCTGACTGGATGTTAGGAGTCCAGAAAAAAAAAAAAAAAAGAGCAGTTTAGCATGATAACCAGATTTCTGACTTGAGTAAATGGACAGCTGGTGTCCATTTGAGGTGACTGAGAGAAAGTAAAAAAAAGTTAAGTTTGGCATTAAACATGATGATTTCCATTTTGGACATGTTGGGTATAAGGTTCCTACAGGATATGAAAGGATGTGTGTTTAAGATAGAGGTATCTGTTTACTTACATTAGGACAGCGGTTCACAGTGGAGATACAAATTTTGGAGTCGTCAGCCAATATACGGCAAGTGATTACTAATTTAGATATGGTCAACTGAAAATAGTGTATAGGAGGAAAAAGGGAAGTGGGTCAAGGATGAAGTCCTAGGACGTGCTGCTATTAAAGAAAAAGAAGCCAACAAATAAGACTGAGTGGTAACTTGAAGGTCTTTAATAAAGCCATATTTCATAATGGGAACTGCAATTACAGCATTAAGTTTAGAATAAGAAAAAAAATTGTCACAATGCTAGATATAACCTTATTAGCTAGATTATCTCTCTATGCCTTAGTTTCCTCATCTACAAAATGGGGTTAATGTTATTCTCAAGAATATACTCTTTGAGAATGACTGAGATCGTAAGCACTCAATAATAAGAATTACTGTCATTATATAATAGCCAATGCTGAAAAAATATAAGTAAGTAGTTCAGACTGGGAGCTTAGTGTATACATAAGGCTGAGTGGGGAAAAGAAAACGACTGAGAGGTTATTCAGTTAAGAGTCAAGAGCAAGAAAAGACAGCATGCTAAAGACTGGGAAGCTAAATCTAGTAAATAATAATCCATCTAGAGTATATGTCCTCCCTTTGGTTTATTTTTACATGCAGAAATGACATCTAGCCAAGTAAAATTAAGCATTTGTTTAAATCCTTTTTAAAAATTATGATTGGTACCAAAATGAAAGATGGTAGCTGTATTAACTAAGAAATCATTTACTTCATTCTTCTAACATATTACTGTATTTCTCAGAGTTCATGAGCAGATATCTGCAGATATCACATGGATGAAACAAAGCAAAAGCATGAGGAAGAAAGAACAGCTTAGAAGCTCATTTTCAGTTTCTAGTCCATATTATAAATATTAGGCTGGGCAGAGAAAGGCATCTACATACAAACAGATGCAATGGAGATGACATATTTCATCCAAAAATTAACCTGAGTTTATTCAGAGAAGACATAAAGGAGGCAAACAGAAGAGAATGTGTTTTAAAAAAAATTAGTTGTGTAAGGTGACAATTCGATGTTTTTAATCTAGGCAATTCAGTATCTGAATACAGTAATTCAAAACGCTAGAATTTTCCTTCACAGAATTCAGTAACAGTTTTAGCAAAAAGCCCCCTAAATTTAAAGACAATAAAACAAACAAGAGAAGAGGCAAAGTATAATTCAATTTGCACGTTTCCCAGTAGTCCAAACACAAACACTAGCAGCGGATTTAAACCTAGGTCTGTAAAACACACTAATATGTTGGGAAGGCTGCAGGTAAAGAGTGCTGCCAGACAGGAGGTGTCTCTGACAGCCAGTTTATTCTCTGTATGCTGAGAGTACCGAACAGTCTGCACAGTCAGAACAGAGAAGGACATTAAGCAAAAAATACCATTACAGACCCATGTCTTTAATATTTTCTCCTGGAAGCAAGGGTGGTTCTTCCATTTCTGCTAACTTGTTAGACTCCCTCAGGACCTGGGGTAGGAAGGACAAGAAAAAAACTTTTTATTCAAAGGCTACTTTTTCACTCATATTTCAACTGAGTATCCTTGCTCTTGAAGTTAAAATATCATATCATATACACTATTTTAAATCAAATTTTTCAATCTGTAGTGTTGGCATGTATAATATGTGAAGTTACTGTTTTTCTAGAAAACATTTACTGAGTGCTTAAATAACATCAAAGCAGTCCACATTTGTTTCACAAAAAAATTTACATGTTTTTGCATTGAATCCTAAGACAGCCTAAAGATAAGGGAGGTATTATATCCTCATTTTACAATAAGGAAAAAGCAGCCAAAAGTGGTAACTAATTAGTTCAAGATCACATAGTTAAAGTGCCAGTGTGTAGATTTGAACTACAGTTGAATGGATTCCAAAGCCCATTCCCTCTCCACTAAGCCATGTTGAAGGGCCACAGTACATTTAAACTCAGATAAAAAATTAAGTTCTTATGTAGATTTAATGTTTAGAGAATTTAGAAATGATGTTGATGAAGAATCTTATTGAAAAAGAGTTTAAATAAAATCATGATCAACAAATGTTACCAGGTAGTTACCTTGTGAAGGATGCTGCACTGTATTCCAAGAATGTGGATATAGAAACAGTTCTCTAAAGGAGTTTCAACCCAGAGAACACAAAGATATACACATATAACCCAAACTGTTACATACTAAATATATCCTCCATTAACTACCAAAAGGCTTCCTCACCTCCTCCCACGTCTTTAACTGTCAAACAGTAAATTTCAGTCTCCAACCCCATTAATTCCTCCATCTTCTGCAATCTGGCTCACCTGTGACAATAACTATGAACTACAAAGAACAAGTTAACTTATTTTCAATAAATTTGCAATCTAAACAAATTCATTCTTTTGAAAGTTTAACAATTTGTTTCACAATGTCACACACATATATTTATGTACCATATCTAAACTTCAGAAAGGTCATCTTTAAAGGTCATCTTTTAAAAATGCTATCTAGTTGCCAGTCCCTAAATAGTCTTATGTAGTCATGAAAGACAGAGGAGGAAAGGAGCACCAGCCTATGAAGATGGGGTTAAGGCAAAAAACTGCCATAAACAAAAATAGACCTCTTGGGTTCAAATGCTGACTGCACCACACACTAACCTGGTACTCTTAGGCAAGGTTTTCAACGTCTCTGTGCCTCATTTTCCCCATCTATAAAATGGTGACAATTATAGTACCACACATAAGTAGTTATGAAAATTAAATGAGTTAATACATTTAAGGCACTTATATCAGTGTTAACACATAAGATGTATGTAATAAGTGTTGTCTATTGTTAATAATAAAACTTCAAACTAACAACTGATTGATTGCTGGAATCTGCTAATATTTCTATTAATTATGAAAGCAACAAAATTAGACCCAAAGATACAAAACAAATATCAGTGTATACTGAAAAAAATCAAATATGTGCAAGATTATAGAAAGGAAGATGCTTTGTTTTTCCCCCAGTAAAGTATGCGTCACTTATAAGGCTGGGCAGTAGTTCCCATATTGCATATGTATACCTTCTCGTGGCTGCTACAGCACTGCTCCACATGACTTCCTCTTTTTCTACATTTCTACATTCAGAAGTGAACTGCAACTCCTGGAAAATATTTATGTTCTGTATATAAGGGACGAGGGTAGTTCCAGCAAAGTCACACAGAAATATGGGAAATGCAATCCTTATAAAGCTTCATAAAGTCAGAAAAGAGACAGGAAACCTCATGCAAGTAGCACATTTGAGAGCCACACATAGGCTTTCTTATATTCTCTCTGACTAGAATGTCAAAGAGCAAGGCGATGAAAAGAAGCAATATAAGATCCTTTGTTTGTCCAGCAGAGCTGCTCTAGACGACAGCTTTTTAAAAATAGGCATATGCTAAAGGTTGTATATAAGCAACTAATTCTACACTGGAGATAGGAAAAGCAACTCCAACTAGAACTCAAGAACAGAACAGGGACAAGGGCAATCTAGATCCTGTGTTTGTTGACAGATTCTACACAAATCTATCCTTAATCAAACAGAAGAGAAAAGAGACTAGGAAAAAAAAAAAGGCCAAAAACAAAAAATTACAAAGACAAGAGAATATCAACCCGAAGCTTGAAAAAACAAAACAAAACAAAAAATAATTCTCTATAGGCATTTGTACAAACATGTATAAGGTACCTGGCACAATCAAAAGGAAGTAAGCCATATTTTTTAAGAAACAGAAAGAGAAGGCCCAGCACAGTGGCTCATGCCTGTGCTCCCAGCACTCTAGAAGGCCAAGGCAGGTGGATTGCTTGAAATCAACAATTCAAGACCAGCCTGGACAACACGGCAAAACCCTGTTTCTAATAAAAATGCAAAAAATTAGTTGGGTAGGCATGACATCGTGGGTCTGTAGTCTCAGCTCCTAGGGAAGCTGTGGTGAGAGGATTTACTCTGAGCCCCAGAAGTCAAGCCTTCAATGAGCCATGATGCACTCCACTGCACTCCAGCCTAGGAAACGGGAGTGAGACCCTGCAAGAAAGGAAAGGGAAAGGGAAACAGAGAGAGAGAGAAAGAGGAAGAGAGAGAGAAAGGGTGAAAGAAAGGAAGAGGGAGGGAAGGAAGAAAAGGAAGGAAAAACAAAGGAATAAAAGGGAAAAGGGAGGGAGGGAAGGAGGAAGGGAGAGAGAGAGAGTAGAAACAGAAAACCATAAGGAGAGAGACACAATAAGACGAGAAATGAGTGAGAATGACTGCAAGGACATTTAAAAATGTTAATAGCAGAAATAAAATCTGTATGGAGTTAGTAACAAATTCATATTAATGTGATATTAATACCCACCTGAAAAGTTAGCAACGATGAAATAAAGATAACTACACCATAAAGACATCTGGAAAATACTGTGATAATGGGAAAAAAAAAATACAGACAGTCCCTTGCATACAATGGTTCAACTTATGGTATTTTCAACTTACAATGGGTTTATGTGGCTATAACCCCATCATAGGTCAAGGGGCATCTGTACTTATTATTCACTTAATGGAAGTGTCAACAGAAGTTTTCTCTGTTTTTTACCAAAATGGCATATTCACATGGTGCTTTTCTTCTCTGCTCAAGAGATTCCCTATATGACACACTTTCTCTAATGCTCATCAAAGGATTAATATTCCATAAGGCATGTTATATAGGGAACCATAAATCAATCTCTGACTCCTAACTACAATATTCTAGATTTAGCCACAGAATAGTAAGCATCTAACTGTTCCAATGAAAGCCACAAATCTTTTCCCTTTCTTTCATTTCTTATGAGGACTGAAGACAGCAGCAATACTCCAAAGGTCTGACACAACTTGGGAAAATTAACTGATTAATGTTTACCTGAGAGAATAAAGGAGATGGCTTAAGAAATAAAAATGGAGTAAAAGTTTAGGGTTTCCTAGTGAAGGGTTTCAAAAAAAGAATAAGGACTTTAAAACATTACATGAAAGACACCTTCAGAAGAGAGTCCCTATCATATGGGTCCATTTATATTAAATTCTGCAACAGACAAAACTATAGTAGGAAAAAATTCAAAACAGTTGTTGCCATGGGGATGAGAATGACAGTGTGGGCTGAGAAGGGGGCATGATGAAAGTATCTAGGGTAACAAGTTCTATATCTTGACAGGGAGTAGGGTTCTATAGGTGTATGCATTTTTCTAAACTCACAGAATGTACACGTAAGATTTCTGTATTTCAATAGATATAAGTTTTATATCAAAAGAAAAACTATGTATCACATTTATTTGCATGCTGACATATTTAGTTGGAAAAGCACTATCAGCAATTTACTTTGAAATGCATCAAAAAGTAAGCTAGATGAATAGATACACAGATGATAGATGTGAGATAAAACAAGGAAGTAGGGTAAAATGTTAATGAAAGAATTCTAATAGTGGATACAGCAGGGTCCTTTGTAAACTTTCTGCTCACAAACTTTTATAATAAAATACTGCGGAGAAGGTAAGGATTTTAAAGTTGACCAGTCATGTTAAAAAAAAAAAAAAAAAAACAGGCCGGGCGCGGTGGCTCAAGCCTGTAATCCTAGCACTTTGGGAGGCCGAGGCGGGTGGATCACGAGGTCAACAGATCGAGACCATCTTGGTCAACATGGTGAAACCCCGTCTCTACTAAAATTACAAAAAATTAGCTGGGCACGGTGGTGTGTGCCTGTAATCCCAGCTGCTCGGGAGGCTGAGGCAGGAGAATTGCCTGAACCCAGGAGGCGGAGACTGCGGTGAGCCGAGATCGCGCCATTGCACTCCAGCCTGGGTAGCAAGAGCGAAACTCCGTCTCAAAAAAACAACAACAAAAAAAGAATGAAGATGAAGTTATGATAATCTAGGAAAGAAATAGAATCCGGGATTAGCCTATGGTGGTTGAAATAAAGAGGAATATGATATATTGGAAAAGTGATCAAATTTGACCCTAGGCTTATAAAACATATAGAAGCAATTATATGAATAATACTTGATGATTTTACTTCAGAAGAATTACATCTCAGATATGTCAACAATGGAATAAGAGAAAAAGCAGATTTCAATGAATAAATGAAGTGAGGTCAAAATGAGGAGCAACTCGTAAACACCAGGAACCTATCTTCTTAAAATGGGGATTAGGATACCACATGTTCTCACTCATAGGCGGGTGCTGAACAATGAGAACACATGAACACAGGGAGGGGAGCATCACACACTGGGGTCTGTTGAAGGGGCTAAGGGAGGGACAGCAGCGGGTAGGGAGGTTAGGGAGGGATAACATGGGGAGAAATGCCAGATATAGATGATGTGGGGAAAGGAGGCAGCAAACCACCTTGCCATGCATGTACCTATACAACAATCCTGCATGATCTGCATGTGTAGCCCAGAACCTAAAGAAATTTTTTAAAAAAGAAAGAAAAACAATAGGGGTTTGGAACCGAGAGAGCAAAGCCAGTCTGGTCCGTGAGGCTTT